TGGTGGGGGTGGAAGGTGAAATCAAGAGGGATTCTGTTTTCGTGCCTCTGCCAGGGAGAGGGTTAAATGGGCCCCAAGCAGTGTAACTGGGAGGATGACAGGGCCCGTCCCAGAAAGAGAAGCAGCAGGAGCCGACAGGCGTGGTTTGGGACCCTTTGGCTGTGATACAGCCAACGGCAGGCAGACGAAGGAGGAGCTAGGGCTCAGGGACTTGAGAGAGTCATGTGAAAGTCATTGTCAGGGGAAGACCGGGCCTGGGAGTGTCCCAGCGCCCTGGTTCTCAGGCCCCTCCCTCCCTCCATGGCTGAGGCCTGCCTCCCCCTGCTCTGCACAGTGATGGAGAAGTCAGGCCCACAGGGACCACCCTGTCCCTCCCCCCGCAGCTGGGGGGCACCTCCCCACCTTTCTCCATCTCCAACATCCCCTTGAGTCCAGGCCCTTGCCATCTCCCCACCTAGTGATTTGGTTGGTTCCCCTGCCACCTTCCACTCTGCTCCCTTTCGCTGTCCCCTCCACACAGCAGCCGAGCAAGCTCTTAAAAAGGGAAGTCAGAACATGTGCTTCCCTGCTTTAAAACCCGCCAGCAATTTTCCACCCCCTCTCCGTGGCCTGGCCCCTGCCCACTTCGCTGACTACTCTCTGCCCTCTGGCCCGGCTTAGGGACTCCAAGGCCTCCTGGCAGCTCCTGGGACATGCCCCACTCCTGTCTGCCGCGGGCCTTGGTGCTGCACCCCCAGCCTGCACTGCCGGCCCCCTCCTCTTTCTGTTCCCAGCCCCAGTGTTGCCCTCAGAGAGGGGGCCTTCCTGCCACCTGTCTACTCTCTCCTGTCCCACCCTTGGTTAACTGCTTGCTCATTGATTGGTTTATTTTCCAATTTGGTATCTGCTGGCTGCTCCTCTCGCTGTGTCGGCCTCGCTCTCTGCTGTCTGCCCCCATCCGGCCTGTGTGGTGCGTGTTTGCTGAGTAAAGCGAATGAAAGAGAGGGGCCGTGTTTACTGCAGGTTCTCAGGGCACAGTCCCTGCCCTCGTGGATCCTGACCTTTGTTGGGGGACAAAGCACAGAGAACAGGCATCCAATAAGAGAAGACACAGCATTTCGCAGTCCCTCCCAGATGTGGACAGCCATGTTCTGGCAGCTCTGAGGGGTGCCCGGCTGAAGTTGGGAAGAAACAACAGTTGTTAAACATCTTCCGCCCAGCAGACCCTCGAGAGTGTTAACACTTCTTATCTTGTTTCATGTCACTTAATCTCGCACAGTTCTGCAGCCGTGGGTCATGGTATCACCGCTTTGTAGATGGGTGTCTGGCAGTTGTGCGAGCAGTGCGGGATAGGTGGCGGGGAGACCAAAGGAAAGACCCGGGGACGGCGTATGAGACATAAGGGTCTGTTGGGATCACTTATGGGGAGCGTCCAGTGGTGGCCGGCTGGATGGAGCTGCGCACCACGTCTGCGGGCAGCGAGGGGGCGGCTTATACGGTCAGGGGCCACACAGGCTACGTGCTTGCTCAGGGGGGCTGTCCCTGGTCCAGCCAGCATTCCCAGGGACGGTGGCTCACATGGAGGGGCTCTGTGTCCCTCTAAGACGTGATGTTCTTTGAGTGAGATAAGGTAAGATCTGGGCTGGCCAGGCCCTGCATCTTTGCAAAGCCCAGCAGCTGGACGTCCTGCCCAGAAGGGGGCCGGAAGGACACATGGCTGCGAAAGGGCACGCAGGCTAGTGCCCCTATAATGAGGACCCTGATCTGTGAGACCAGTGACTTGCCAACGGTCTCAGAGCTGGGATGGACCACCCTGTGACGAACCCAGAGCTTTCTGTTGCCAGAACCGCTGCACTTTCCATAAGCCTGAGTGGGAAGAAGTGAAGTCAGGAGCAGGACTCTGAGCGTGGATGCGAGGTGGTGTCGGGCACAGAGAAAGGGTGATGTCATGGATTTACTTATTGCTTTTTAACTTTTCATTTTGAAATAATTTCAGACTTGCAAAAATAATACACGGAATTCCCATACACCCCCACCCAGCTCTCCCAAATGTTAGCATCTTTCATAACCACAGTGCGGTTCACAAAACCAAGAAATTAACCTCAATACAAACTATTAACCACTCTCCAAACCTGATTGAAATTTTGCCAATTGTCCCACTAACATCATTTTTCTGGTCTAGAATTCAATCCGGGATGTTTCGGTTGTTCCCACCCATCCACAGGCATCCCTGTCAGGCCAGCTCTTTGTTATGACAGCAGCACGGCAGAGACAGTCTGCTGCTCCCTCCAGCTCCCTCCTTCTCTCCAGGAGTTTGGCATTTCTCGATTGCCTTTTCTTGGCGAGCCTTCCCCAGATTCTCTACACGCCTGCTCTCTCCTTCTTGGAAATGTCACTTCCTCGAAGAGGCCCTCCTTGACCCCTAAAACAGCAGCTCCTGTCATTTAAGACTATGAGCCGCCAGAGGGCGCTGGCTCTGCCTTCCTCGCTCTGTGCCCAGCCGGCTAGTAGCCAGGCCTTACTAAATCCTGTTGCAGGAGTGCAAGTAGGAAGTGGCTGGAACCGACCTCAACGTAAAACGAAAAGAGGGCCTGTGAAAAATGGACATAAAGACACGTAAAAGATGCAAAACCCCTCCACAGTGTGTCCAAATTCCCCACTGATACAAGCACATGGGCACACAGAGCAGGGATCACAATGATTAAACTGTAGAGAAATCATTTCTACCACGTCGTCATGGAAACCCACTTGGTTGTGATCAAATTGTTTCCTGTCAAATCAGCTAGCTCTTGCCCAAGGGGCCTGAACAGCAGCCTCTCTGCCGTCCACCCGCCCCCAACGTACACACAGTGAATCCCGGCAGAGACTTAGGGACCCCCATCTATCCCCCACGTCGACTTTCCTGTGTCCGGTTTAATCAGCCAGAATCCACCCCCTTTTCTGACTGACTGGCTGTATAACCCTAAGCATTGACTGTCTCCCCACCCCACCCCCGCCTCAGTTTCCCCTCTGAGAGGCCAGGACCTGAGACAGCTCCTTCCCGTGCTGGCAGGGCTGGTTACATACTTTGTAGGGCCCAGTGGAAAATGAAATTTGGTGTCTTTTGTTGAAAGGACAGGGAAAAAGTGCCATTAAAGTTACTAAAATACAAAGTTTTCCCTTTCTTCTATGATCTACTTTTGATTTGTCATGATGTTTTTCATTTGCTACTTAATGTCATTCTAAGTAAAGAAAAATTAAAATCTAAATTATTAGCATGAATTTTGCCATCTGTATGTTATGCAATGCCAGTCTTAAATGCAAATGTAAGAACCTTTCAGTCCTCTGTGGAATCGCTGAAACGCTCTAATCACCATCTCTTAGCTTGCACATGGATATGGGTTTTGCTCTTGTAAGAACAGGGGAAATGCTGCACAAAACTAACTCACCTGTTTTTATTCCATTTGTTGACACATGCACATCCTACCAGCTCCCTCTCCCTTCAGCGTACTGATGATCGAGGAAGGACTGAAAGGAAAGGACAGACTGGTCACCCTCTTTCCCTTTCCTTCTGCAGCATCATTTGTAGCAAGGATGGTTGGATCATACGGGAAGTAACAGTAAGAAAGGAGGTGGTGGGTCCTCAGCCCTCTGTGTTTCTCAGAACACCGCTGCTTTCTTGATGCCTTTGAAGCAAATTCTGGTTTGAACCAAAAGTGTGACCTCTCAGGCCAGTCAGCGCTCCCCTTACTCAGTTGTAAATGTCGTACAACTCACCTTGTGCTCACTTTGAGTCTTGACTTCCCACGTGTAGTGGGTCCACCAGAATTCTGTGCTGCTGGGACATTGCAAACGTGGTGTGTATGTGGGGCAGCAAGGAACGAAGCATCCACATACTGGGTGTAGCACCTCTGCTCAGGTGTCTGTTCTGTTGTCTCATCAGACTTACAAGATACGGGTTCAAAGGTAAAGTCACTAAGAATTTCAAGATGGCAGGGCCAGCCCCATGGCCGAGTAGTTAAGTTCATGCGCTCTGCTTCGGTGGCCCAGGGTTTCGCCGGTTTGGATCCTAGGCGCAGACATGGCACCACTCTTCAAGCCATGCTGAGGTGGCATCTCACATGCCACAACCAGAAGGACCCACAACTAAATATGCACAACTATGTACCGGGGGGCTTTGGGAGAAAAAGGAAACACTAAAATCTAAAAAAGAAAGATTAAAACAAAAATGAGTTTCAAGATGGCGACAGCGAGCATTAAACCAAGTTCCCGGCCCTATGTGACCTCATAGATTTCCTGCCTGTGAGGCCAGCCCTATGTGCTGGCATCCTGGGTTTGGAGGACTCTGTCCCTCACAAGCCCCCTCTGTTCCTTGTGCTGCCTTTTCGCCATGTAGCCTGGGATGGCCTGGAATGGTGGCAGGAGGAGGGAGCGATGGGGGCAGCCCATCCAGCCTCACCTCTCCCTGCTTCCTCCACCAGACAGCCAAACAGAACTTTCTATGGTCTGCTCAAGCAAGCCCTGCTGCCTGCTGCCTCTCGGCCCTGGCCTACTGGGTCCTCTGTCTCAGTGGTTCTCAGATTGGGGCCCCTGGGCCAGCAGCATTGGCATCACCTGGAGCTTATTAGAAATGCAGATTCCCAGGCCCCACCCAGACCTGCTGAATTGCAAACGTGGGGATGGGGCCAGGATCTGGTTCAACAAGTCCCGGCATGACTGTGATGCCCCACTGCTCTTCCCAAAATGTTTTTCCCACCTCAAGTCAGCTTCCTAACGTCTACACCCCCTTTACCAAATATACCCCTCGCCCTCTGAGTCTCGTCTGTGAATTTGGCAGTTCACGTCTCTGCTGGGCAGCGAGCTGGGCGTGTGTATCGTCTCCATCTTGTCTTGCGTACTGACCAGGCCAGGCAGTAGGCGCACAATAAGTGGTGGGGGAGCTGTATTGACTCGGGGTGGCCAGGGGAGTGGTGACATGGGGCCTGGGCCTCCCGGGGACCCCGGGCATGGGGCGGGGCTGAGCCCGGACATCCCGCCCACAGGTACAGCCTGTATACCCGCACGTGGCTCGGGTACCTCTTCTACCGCCAGCAGCTGCGCAGGGCCCGGAATCGCTACCCCAAAGGCCACTCCAGAACCCAGCCCCGCCTCTTCAACGGTGAGCCCTGGCTGCCCAGGCCAGCGTGGCCCCAAGCTGTGCGCGCCCACCCTCCCTGCCCACTCCCCATCACACACCCCGACTGCCAGGCTGCCTGCCCGCACCCACCCACGGCCCGTCTCTGTCCCCCAGGAGTGAAGGTGCTTCCCATCCCCGTGCTCTCGGACAACTACAGCTACCTCATCATCGACATCCAGGCCCGGCTGGCTGTGGCTGTGGACCCTTCAGATCCTCAGGCTGTACAGGTGAGGGGAGGGGGCTGCCCGGGGGCCTGGACTCACTTTGGGGCCTGGCAGCTCATCCTCACATAGAGGGGCTGACCCTGGTCCTTCTGCCAATGGGATGTCCCCCCCATATGCACTCACACACCAGCCCAACATGCAGATACACACAGAGGCACCCACAACCACAGCATGGGGGAGCGGTCAGTATCCAGAGCATGGCTGGAGGCGGGGGGCGGGGGGGCAGCAATGGGGGAACCGTTGCCGAGGGGGGCTGCCCCAGGACCCAGGGTGTAGTGAGTTTCCTCCATCTCTCACTCTGTGGCCTCCTTTCTGACCCTCTTTTCTCTTTGCCTCTGTCTGTTAGCATCCAGGTCTCTCTGTCTTTCCCTCCCATTTCTTATTTCTCTGTGTGTGCGTGTCTGTGTGTCTGTCCCCTCCACAAATCTCCCCCATCCCTTGTGCCCATACCGAGTCTCAGCTGCCCCCCTTTCCCCCGCCTTGCCCTCCCCACCCTCTGCATCCGTCCCCTCCTCTGCCTCCTCTCTCCTTGCTTTCCTCCCCTCTCTCCTGGCACCCATGGCCCCTGCAGCCCGCTCCTCAGTCTCTGCGCCTCCTCTCCCCCCAGGCTTCCATTGAGAAGGAAGGCGTTGCCTTGGTGGCCATTCTCTGCACCCATAAGCACTGGTAAGGCGCTGGGGGGCGGGGGGCCTGGGTGCAGACGATCATCCCTGGCTGACCCTTGCCCCAGCTGGGCTTGCCAGGCCTGGGCCCGTGAGGACACGCTGGGTGGGGGTCAGGATGGGAGGCATCCGCCTTCCTCACAAAGCCCCTGGGGCACCAGCAGAGAAGGCGGGCAGGGGTGTGTCTCCCACCACTCCACGTATCAGCTCCTGAAGCCCCAGAGGAGGGCAGGGCAGGCATTTATCTTTCATTCCAAGGGCAAGTATTAGATGCCTACTGTGTACCAGGCACAGACAAACCTTGTGAGCTCTTCCCTCAGGAGATGATAGTCCAGTAGGGGAGAAAGCCCTGCATGAAAGTGTGCAACGAGGTGGCACTTGGCACAAGGTCCAGGGGGTGGGGGGCGCTGGGTGGAGTGTGATCAGATCCACCTGGAGGAATTAGAGGCTGATGACCCTGGAGCTGAGAGAGTCCAGAAAGACCGGTTGGCACTGGCCAGGTGTTGGAGGGGTGAGGGAGGCGAGTTGTGGGGATGACATGCTGGGTTGGGGAACAGCTTGAACGAAGCCCTGGAGATGTGGACAGCTTGGCTCAGTCCAGAAGCCGGGGACCCCAGGGTTCAAAGGCCTGGAGATGCTGTGGGGGAGAGGGAGGCAAGCAGGCGCAGTCCAGGTGCCCCTCCAAGGCCCACCCGTCCCTACATCCTGCAGGGACCACAGTGGAGGGAACCGTGACCTCAGCCGGCGGCACCAGGACTGTCGGGTGTACGGGAGCCCTGAGGACGGCATCCCCTACCTCACCCAGTAAGTCCCTGACCCAGAGTGGGATGGCCCTTCCGTGGGCCCTGTCCCTCACACCCGTCCTTCAGTCAAGTATTTCCGGGGAGTCACAGCTGGATCTTTGCTGATGCCCTTCCTGGCCCCTAGAGAGCAGACCCCAGCCCACCTGAAGAACGGCCCTGCTCACCCCCCCGCTGATCCAGCCGTGCTCCCCAAAAGCAGAGGAGGGGAGGGTGTGGGCCTGAAGCCCTGGGCGCTGGGGTGCCTTCTCTCTCTGGGGTGGAAGCCCCCACTCCTGCAAATCACTTAGCCCGTTGGGCCGAGGGAGGGGCAAGAATCGCATGGCACAAGCTCTAGTACCTTCTCTCCCCTGTTGCCTTGCTCCTCAGCCCCCTGTGTCATCAAGATGTGGTCAGTGTGGGGCGGCTTCAGATCCGGGCCCTGGCCACCCCTGGCCACACGCAAGGCCATCTGGTCTACCTGCTGGATGGGGAGCCCTACAAGGGCCCCTCCTGCCTCTTCTCAGGGGACCTGCTCTTCCTCTCTGGCTGTGGTGAGTTCCCCCAAAAGGGAAGAGGGAGGAGGGAGACAGGAGGGAGGGAGAGGCCAGCAGAGGGGCCCAAAGGCAGCCACAGCCCCATGCAAGCATTAAAGCCTTGGTTTCAGCACAGACGTGGCCTTGGCCATTACTCCCACCTATGTTGCCCCGATTTTTGTTATATCCTCCCAGCTTCCCACGGGGTGGGCAGGAGGCGAGGATGCCCGTAACTGAGTACAGAGCTCACGAGACATTTGTTTCCACTGGGGGGAGCCTGGTTCTCTGATACAGTGACTGGCAGGACTAGGTTACAAAGAGGGGAGGGCCGCTGAGCGAGAGGAGATCTGTGGGTGGGGAGGATCGTGAGTCCCCAAGGGCAGCACAGGCAAAGGAGGAAGGGCTCTGTGGAAAAGAGCGACCAAGTGAGAGCGTACCGTGCTTGGTCCTGAAGGTTTGGCACCCCCTCCCCCCACAGGTCAATGTTGCAGTGGAGGCCTTCAAACAGCCTTGGTGGGGGGCGGGTAATTGGACCCAGCTCCCAGTGGGAAGGAGGGAGTGGAGGCCAGGAGGCGGGTATGCAGGCGCATGGTGGAGGGCTGGTGGCCAGTCGCATCTGTACGGGCTGACCCCCACCCCCTCCATGGCCCTTCTAATATACCGTGATGGGTTATCCCTGTACATTATCACGTCTCCCCGGACCCTCACCAGGACGGACCTTTGAGGGCACCGCAGAGACCATGCTGAGCTCGCTGGACACTGTGCTGGGGCTTGGGGATGACACTCTGCTGTGGCCTGGTGAGGTGCCCCTCCCACTTCTCCTCCCAGCCCCTCACTCCCCTGGAGCCCCTGCTGACCCAAAGCCTGGCCCAAAGGTGACCCAGCTCCAGCTCTGGTGGCTCCTGGGAGCCAGCTCTAGCAGTGGGGCAGACTCCCTTCATTCTGGAGTGCCAGCTCTGCCACACCCCTGCTGCTCACACCAGCTTCCCCTGCCAGCCAGCTTTCGGCCTCTTGGGAGCCCTGCAGGCCCCAGAGCATCCCAAAGAGATGGCGGATTTTTCACAACCAGAGCCTAGAACAGAGAATAGCCTTTGCTTATTAGGGGCGGAAGTCGGTAAATCCACTCTGCAGGTATCCATTGCATGCATCCATATCCACACACAGCGTGTCTATCCATCTGTACATAGGTACATTGACGGAATATCCATCCGTCCATCCATACATACGTGGCATGGCGTGGCATGTCCTACATTCATACATACACCGCAAATGCATAGTTTCTAAAACACATCCGCTAATATCTCAGTCATCCTTAGAACATATATTCACCCATTCATTCATTTGACAGATACTTTATTGAGCACCTAACAGGTACCAGGCTCTGTTCTAGGCACCAGGGACATGTGTGTGTTCTAGTGGCATTATTGATTTTCCCCTCTCCAAGTGAGAGGACGGGCGCAGAGAAGTGCCCTAACTTGTCTGAGGTCGCACAGCTGGGCAGGGGAGAAGCAGGCCTAGAATGCAGGTCTCTGGCTCCAGGTCTGGTGCTTCCCCCTGAACTGCTTCTTTCTCTTCACTCCTGGCTGACTCCCACAGTCAGAGAAGCAGCTCCGTGGGGTTGGGGTTCTCCTGGAAGCGCCACCCCACCTCCCTGGTGGGCGGTCCCAGAGGCCTGGGCTGGGGAGGACTTTTTCTGACCACACCACCGACCTTTCTCTGCGTGCCCCTGCGCCCCCCGCGGCGGTCCCCAGGTCACGAGTATGCGGAGGAGAACCTGGGCTTTGCAGGCGTGGTGGAGCCCGAGAACCTGGCCCGGGAGAGGAAGATGCAGTGGGTACAGAGGCAGCGGATGGAGCGCAAGAGCACGGTGCGGGGCTGGGGCGCCAGGAGGGCCTGGCTCAGCTCTGCAGTGTTTGGTACCTGGGGCTGTGAGTGACAGCTCCTGGGCGCCGGGGCGGGGCCCGGCCTAGCCACGGGGGTGGGGGGGTGGGGGGGTGGGGGGGTGGGGGGGTGGGGGGGAGGTCAGGCGAGGTGGGGTTGGGGGCGGGGAGAGGAGGCGTCCCTTGTTGGGTCTATTTTCTGGAGTCTTTCCACCAAACCCGGGTGCCTCTCCTCCCGCAGTGCCCGTCCACCCTGGGAGAGGAGCGCTCCTACAACCCGTTCCTGAGGACCCACTGCCTGGTGCTGCAGGAGGCTCTGGGGCCAGGCCCGGACCCCGCTGGGGATGACGGCTACTCCCGGGCCCAGCTCCTGGAGAAGCTCCGCCGGCTGAAGGACGTGCACAAGAGCAAGTGACACCCCCCCACCCCACCCCACCCCAGCCCACCTCCCATGGTGGAGAGACCGCCCGTCGCCCACACCACCGCACCCCCTCACTGTTACTACCACCACCTCCATCGGCGCCCACGGTGGGCATCATTCCCCGACACTGGTCACGGGGAGAGGAGGGACAAGGCGACGAGCGAGCACGTGACACCAGGAGGAGGGGAGCTGGTCGAAGACTGGAGACTCCGTGGGGTGAAGCTGAGTTATACAGGGCGCGAAGAAAGGAGGGGCCTTGGGACATCTCCAGACCTGACTAGGAGGGCCCCCTCCTCCCCTCCCCTGCTCCTGCGATGGCAGTGAGGACCCTGAGGCTGTTCTTAGCCCCTCCCTCAGGAGGCCTCACTCTCTCTGTAGCCCCTGGACCCAGGGCAGCAGGAGCCATGGCCAGGTTGAGTCCATCTTCCCCTCTCTTCCCCCTCCCCCCCGGGGCTGGGAAACTCAGTCCCCCAAAGTGGCCTACGGTGTGGAGACTTGGCAAGTGATGGCTCAGAGGGGCCCCTGGGCTCTGGTTTACTGAGACGCTGCCCCTCCTCTCCGCCGGGCCCCGCCCCCACAAAGGCGTTTGATGAAAGAGCTGGAGGCTGGCTGGCTGGCTGGCTCTGCCCTTACGACTCTCCTGCAGCCTGGAAGAGGGAGGGTCCTGGTTGCCATGGAAACCTTGGCCTAAGGCTGAGGAGACCCAGAGGCTGGGACTGCAGCCCCACAGGCTCCTAGGTCCAACATGCTCCCTGCACAGCTGGCCTGGTCCTGCCAGCCGGCCTCTGCCCCTGCCCCTGCCCCTGCCCAGGGCCAAAAGGGCCCCTCCTTCCTAGGGGAGAGCGCCAGCATCCGCCACAGCTTACCTCATCATGGCCACTATTCTTAGGAACTTCTGCCTTTCTCTAACTTCTGCTTTATCCTCACCCCTTTTCCTCTTTTAGTTACAGACTCATTCATCTGCCCCTTTGCAGTTTGCTAAGAACATTCCCGCGTCCTTTCTCATTTGATCTTTGGCCCCATCCTGGCTGGGGGAGGGGTCCACGCTGCAGATGCAGAAATCGGAAGTCCGGGAGCCAAGAGCCCTGGAGTGGGTGGCAGCTTCTCGGACCCCCGGCCGGGGCCCTTCCCCTCGCTCAGTCCTCCCTCAGCTCCGCTTCTCCTCTGGTCTTGGGTCCAATCCCTCTGGAGCCACAGTGAGGACCCCTGTGGTCCTCGAGCAGGCGTCCCTCAGGTCAGCCAGGAGCCTGCCCTTCCTGCGTCCAAGCCTTCCCTCGGGTTCTGCTCACCTCTGGTGAGCCTCCCAGTGCCCGCTGCCCTCAGTTTCCCCTCGTCATCCGGCCTCTGCCTCCCTCTCCAGTCACAGCCTCTGGTACCAACTCTAGCAATACCGCCAGAGCAGAGTCCCGTCCCCAGACACGCGGTTTCCTGCCTCTGTGCCTTCGCTCATGCCGTCTTTTCCGACTGGAATGCCTGTCCCCTGCACCTGCTGCCTTGTCTGCCTGGCCAACACCTATTCATCTCTCACAGTCCCCCTCAAAGGCCCCCTCCTCCAGGAAGACCACCCCCCGCCCCTCCCTCTCCAGGCTACCTCTGCTCTTTGTAATTGCTTCTCCTGTGGCACTTCTTACCTGTTTACATGTTCGTCTCCCCTTCTAGACTGTGAACCCTTCAGGGCATGGACTGTATCTTATGCATCTCTATTTTTGCGCCTAGCACGGTGCCTGGCACACAGTAGGCGCCCAATAAATGATGAATGAATGAATGATTTAACCGAGGCTTGATCACTCAGTGGGCTTGTGGTTACTGCTGGTCCCGTTTGCCTGTGTGGGTCACAGGTCCACTAACTTGGAGTGACTGCCCTTTCAAGACCTTCGGCCAAAACAGCTACAAACACATCCTTCCACGGCTCGCGTGCGTTGGTGCAGCATTTCCTATTTGCTCCCTCAGTGTTTTCCAGAGCTTGAGAGGCACAGGTGTACGGCTGGCCCCAGGGGAGACGGATCTAGGCGGTCCCAGCACAGCTGTGAAGGGCTCTTCAAGGGCAAGGCCTCAGCCACAGGCTGTCTTTAAGCCTCTGGAAATAACAAAGAGCCAGACTCCACTATCTCAAGATAAACTTGAACAACGGCTCGTTTGTTCTCACTGCATTTATCTTTTGGGGTCAATAATTATTTTTGACAAATGACACCAGTTTTTAATTCATGGTAATTAAAGATGTTTATTGAATCAGGAAAACACGAAGTGAAGGTGACGCTTGGTGATGGCAGAGCTCTCAAAGGTGACCCTGGTGTGGCTGAAGGCTGGAAAGCCTGGCCTAGCTCCACATTCCCTTGGGGCCAGTCCAAGGCATAGTGTTCCCGCCCTGGCCACAGCTCAGCCTCCCTGCTCAGGCGTCCCTCAGGATGAGCCAGGGCCTTGGCACTGGTCCTGGCTGTCCTGGGTCAGGTCTGCATCCGTGCTTGGGGACCAGGCTGTGGTTCTCGCCTCCTGAAGACGGGTGGCTCTCTGCTCTCTGATTGTCTGTGCATCACTGTGTCGAACAGGGGAGCCCAGGGCCAGCTCACTCTGGGTATGCCCACCTTCCAGGGCCACTTGGTGACAGCTCTCTAGGGCAGCTGAAGCATTTCCCTAGGGCCTTAGGTGGTCCTCCCACTGAAGGATGGCACATGCTTCCTCTGGAGCTGACACTGACCAAAACAACAGGGCCACCTGCTCTTTGCTTGCAGGACAGCAGGTGTCACTGACTTTAGAGACCCGGATTCCAGTCCCAACTCATCACTCAACATCCAAATGACCTTGGAGAGGTCACTTCCCTGACCTCAGCTTCTCCACCTTCCAGTGGAGATGACAGCCTTGAATGAGTCAGAACCATTTTGGGTGCAAGTGAGAAATACTCAACACTAAGGAGCTTAAACCAAGGGGCAAATGTATCAGCTCATGCAATTGAGAAGTGTGAGATTATGTCATAGTGACTTCAGGCGTGGCTGGATCCAGGGATTCAAAGAGCATGTTTATCTTTCAACTCTGCTTTCTTCTGTATTGGTATCATTTGCTGTCAGGCTTTCTCCCTGCAGTAGAAAGATCATCCCTAGAAGTTCCAGGCTTACAGGCGGCTAGTTCACCAAACCTAGGAGAACCTCCAATAGTCCCAGAGATTGAGTTTCATTGGTCCAGCTTGGGTCATGTGCCCGACCCTGAACTAATCATAGGAGTTAGGGGAATGGGCCGCTCTGACTGGTTAGGTTAGGCCACATGACCACAGCTGGAAGGGCAGCGTCAGACCCAACTGGAACACAGTGCACTGAGAGTGGGGAGGGAGTTCCCCAAAGGAACAGGCAGGCTGATGCCAGAAACCATGCAAGGCAGCAAGATCATAAACCTGCACGACAATTCACTTATTGGGGGCCATCGGGAGGGTCAGATGAGAAGAGGCATATAAAGTCACTTTGGAAAATGCTACATCAGATTTCTGGTGCTATAATTAGTTACAGGGAAGAAATGGAGGGAGACATGTGGCCTCAAAGGTGTTTGAATGATATGTAGTTTTAAAAATAACTGGCAAGAAGTTCAGTTATTCCATTTTTTTCTTGAATCACAGGCTGTCTCTTTGGGGGTAGAAAAGGAGAGGGATTGGGGTTGGGTGGGCAGCCTCAGGTGTCCCGGGGAAGACCAGAGAAGAGGGGACACTGCAGACATGAATGTGAGGAGCATGTGTGTGGTCAGGAGCGCGAGACTCGGGCAGAGGTGGGACAGGGTGGGGAGAGAGGACTTGCAGTTGGACTAGTCTGATACGAATGTAGGTCTGCCTCTGATTGGCCCGGGGTGACACGGGGCAGGTGATTTATCCCCGAGCCTCGTGCTGGAGTGGCTGGGAGCCCTGAGTGAGGCACAATGGCTCAGTGAGCAGCCTCTCTCTTCCTACTGTGATTGATACACTCGGGGCTAGTCCATCAGGGCCAGCAGGACGAAGTGATTAAGAACGTGGACTCTGGAGCCGGTCCATCTGGGTTGGAGTCTACACTTTCCATTTCTTAACCAGGTGACTTTGGGCAAGTTACTTAACCGTTCTGTGCCTCCGTTCCTTATCTGTCCAGTGGGGATGATGCTAGCACCGCCTTAGAAGCTGATCGTGAGGATTAAATGAGTTAATACCTGCAGAGCTCAGCGCAGAGTGAGCCCTCTCTACACAGTGGTGGTTCAGTAGATGCCGACCCCAGTGGCTGGGAGGGCACAGGCTGTCCATGTCACGGGCTCAGACAGGCCAGCCTGCCCAACACAGCCACACAGCTCATATGGCAGCCAGCTCCAGAGTGTCCCTCCACTGGCCTAGGAGGCCTCAAGGGGGCACAGTAACAAGGGTCCTTGACAGCTCTCTTGCAGAGGGTTACAGAAATAGACAGCAGACTGGACATTGATCCTTCTGTGAGCCACTTTGTCAAATTGCTTTCTCCCCTAGCAGCTGGCAGGAAACAGCCAGCACCAAGGGGGCAGACATGAGGGTGGGGAAAGAGTGGAGAACATGGGCTGCTGGAGGTGGGAGCCTGAGGGGGCAGGCAGGTGGAGTCCAGTGCAGCTGGAGGGCCCGATGGAGGAGAGGCAAGGGCGCGAGGGAGAGCGCCAAAGGGGAGAGGGTGCGCGGGGCAGGCTTCCCTCTGGTCAGGAGTCCAGGACAGCAGAGTGGCTAGCGGTTAGGGGGGCGTAGGGAGAGGAACCACGTGAGCTCCCCTTAAAAAGCATCGAGACCACGATTTGCTTTCTTTTTAAAAAACTGTCTTACTGGGGCTGGCCCCGTGGCCGAGCGGTTAAGTTCGCGCGCTCCGCTGCAGGCGGCCCAGTGTTTCGTTGGTTCGAATCCTGGGCGCGGACATGGCACTGCTCATCAAGCCACGCTGAGGCAGCGTCCCACATGCCACAACTAGAAGGACCCACAACGAAGAATATACAACTATGTACTGGGGGGCTTTGGGGAGAAAAAGGAAAAAATAAAATCTTTAAAAAAAAAATTAATGAAACATTTGGTATAATTTCAACTTTCAAAAATAAAATATACATACTGTACTTATACACATATTATAAGTAATGCAAGAAGCTAGTTCTTTAGGAAGAAGATCTAATTTAAAAAAAAAAACTGTCTTACTAATCAAAAAGATTTTGTCAAACTTCATGTAATTCACATATGAAAGCGATATGGTTTGCTTTTTTTTGAGGAAGATTAGCCCTGAGCTAACATCTGCTACCAATCCTCCTCTTTTTGCTGAGGACGACTGGCCCTGAGCTAACATCTGTGCCCATCTTTCTCTACTTTATATATGGGACACCTACCACAGTGTGGCTTGCCAAGCGGCACCATGTCTGCACCTGGGATCCGAACCAGCGAACCCCAGGCCGCCGAAGTGGAATGTGTGAGCTTAACCGCTGTGCCCCAGGGCCAGCCCCCCGGTTTTTTTAATTATAGTTAAAGGATTTAACTATATTTAACTTTATTGAGATATAATTTACATAACACAAAATTCACCCTTTTAAAGTGTACAATTCAGTGGTTTTTAATTTATGCACAGTTTTTCAACCATCACCGCAATCTAATTTTAGAGCATTTTCATTATCCTGCAAAGAAACCCTGTGCAGGTTTCATATCGGTCCCCGCTGCCACGCCGCCCCGCTGCCCCCGTCCCCCCACGCTGGGCCAACCCTGATCTTCTTTCCCTCTCTACAGATGTGCCTGTTTTGGACATTTCAACTAAACGGAGTCCTACAATGTGTGGTCTATTGTCACCAGCTTCTTTCACTCAGCATGTTTTCAAGGTCCCTCCACGCTGTAGCCTGTGTCAGGATTTGTTCCTCTTATGGCTGAATAATACTCCATGGTGTACACAGACTGCAGACCGCGTCTTGTTCATCCATTCATCAGCTGCTGGACAGTGGGGTTGTTCCACTTTTTGGTTATTATGAAGCATGGTGCTGTGAACATCTGTGCACAGCTCTCTTGAGTATACACCTGGGAGTAGAGTTGCTAAGTCATATGGTAACTTCACATTTAACTTTTTGAGGAACTAACCAACTACTTCCCGAAGCAGTTGCAAGTTCTCTGAGTGCCGCTGACGGTGGCTCATGTGCAGAGAAAGGCTTATTCAGAATTCGCTGTGGCTTTTAAAAATGGATACTCAGTTTCTAAAAATGCAAATTTTAAAACATAAGCATTTTCAAAAGATTTAAGTTTGACTTACTAGTCGTATCATTCTAATCATAAATCTAGTGAATGTTAATAACTTTTGAGGGGGGTTTGGTTAGTAAGTGATCCTCTTTTCAAAATTAAAACTGCGTTAGGCAGTTTATGCTGTATTTTTTAATTCCATCTATTCTATTTCCTTTTATAAAGCAATTGATTGTTTTATGTCAATCATATCTCAAGTAATCTGGAAAAAATTAAGTAAAATAAAAAGAATTCAATTCTCTTGAAAGCCCAGAAATAAAACCACACATCTATAGACAGCTTATCTTTGACAAAGGAGCTGAGGGCCTACAATGGAGAAAAGAAAGTCTTTTCAACAAATGGTGCTGGGAAAACTGGACAGGCACACGTAAAAGATTGAAAATTGACTATTCTTTTTCACCATTCACCAAAATAAACTCAAAATGGATCAAAGACCTAAAGGTGAGACCTGAAACCATAAGGCTTCTGGAAGAAAATGTAGGCAGTACACTCTACGACATCAGTATTAAAAAGATCTTTTCGGACACCATGCCTTCTCAGAGAAGGGAAACAATAGAAAGAATAAACAAATGGGACTTCATCAGACTAAAGAGCTTCTTCAAGGCAAATGAAAACAGGACTGAAACAAAAAAACAACCCGCTAACTGGGAAAAAATATTTGCAAGTCATATATCTGACAAAGGCTTAATATCCATAATATATAAAGAACTCTCACAACTCAACAACAAAACATCAAACAACCCAATCAAAAAATGGGCTGGAGACGTGAACAGACATTTCTCCAAAGAAGATATACTGATGGCCAATAGGCACATGAAAAGATGCTCATCATCGCTGATCATCAGGGAACTGCAAATCAAAACTACACTAAGATATCACCTTACACCCGTTAGAATGACAAAAATATCTAAAACTAATAGCAACAAATGTTGGAGAGGTTGCGGAGAAAAAGGAACCCCCTCATACACTGCTGGTGGGAGTGCAAACTGGTGCAGCCACTATGGAAAACAGTATGGAGATTCCTCAAAAAATTAAAAATAGAACTACCATACGATCCAGCCATCCCACTACTGGGTATTTATCCAAAGAGCTTGAAGTCAGCAATCCCAAAAGTCCTATGCACCCCAATGTTTATTGCAGCACTGTTTACAATAGCCAAGACGTGGAAGCAACCTAAGTGTCCAGCAACAGACGAATGGATAAAGAAGATGTGGTACATATATACAATGGAATATTACTCAGCTGTAAAACAGAACAAAATCATTCCATTTGCAATAACATGGATGGACCTTGAGGGAATTATGTTAAGTGAAATAAGCCAGCGAGAGAAGGATAATCTCTGTATGACTCCACTCACATGAGGAATTTAAAATTATGGACTAAGAACAGTTTAGTGGATACCAGGGGAAAGGTGGGGTGGGGGGTGGGCACAAAGGGTGAAGGGGTGCACCTACAACACGACTGACAAACATTAATGTACAACTGAAATTTCACAAGATTGTGACCTATCAATAACTCAATAAAAAAAAAAAGAATTCAATTCTCTAAAAATATTTTTTTAAAGATTTTATTTTTTTCCTTTTTCTCCCCAAAGCCCCCTGGTACATAGTTGTATATTCTTCATTGTGGGTCCTTCTAGTTGTGGCATGTGGGACGCTGCCTCAGCGTGGTTTGATGAGCAGTGCCATGTCCTCGCCCAGGATTCGAACCAATAAAACACTGGGCCGCCTGCAGCGGAGCGCGCGAAGTTAACCACTCGACCACGGGACCAGCCCCTAAAAATATTTTTTTAAATAAAGCAATTTATTGATATATCAACCTCTCAAGTACTTTTATTGCAATCTAAAAAGTAATCATAAATATAGCAAATTTTATGGTTTTTAAAAGAATTGTTTGGTTCTACTTAAAATTCCATCAAGAACTTAACTTCAAAGTACAGTCTAAATCAACTATTCAGCTGCCCAACTTAAATTGGAATCTCAAGGCTTATCTTTTAAGCACTCTGCTACGCCAAATTATTTTAAACATTTCAAGAACTTGAAATATCAAATATGCACAATGTAACAGAAAAAAATATTAATACTATTAGTTAGATAATCTTAAGCAGTTTTACACATAATTCTAAATCTCCCGAAAGTTGATAGAAAAGTACCCAATAAGACTTTTCTTTTAAAGATTTTATTTTATTTTTTTCCTTTTTCTCCCCATAGCCCCCCAGTACGTAGTTGTACATTCTTAGTTGTGGGTCCTTCTAGTTGTGACATGTGGGACGCCGCCTCAGCGTGGTTCGATGAGCGGTGCCATGTCCATGCCCAGGATTCGAACTGATGAAACTCTGGGCCACCTGCAGCGGAGCTTGCGAACTTAACCACTGGGCCACGGGGCCAGCCCCCCTAAGAAGACATTTGAAGATGATCTTTGCAAGTGATATGGTGGGGGGGTGGGAGGGACACCTCCTTAGGTGACTGAGGTTTCATGTCAAGATTTTTCTCTTTTGTGACCTGGACTATCAGTCTGAGTCCCTTTTTATAGCCACGATGACAAAGATTCCAACACTTCCAAGTGGGGATCAGACAGCCCACAGCCTGGGGTTTGAGTCATAGCATAATTTAATTTTCAAAATTAAATGTGAAGCCCTTTAGAACAGTAGCCTAGGGTCAGTGTGGTTTAAGGTTTGTTGTGATTGTCATTGTTGTTACCATCACTATTCCGTGTCAGGACCACAATGTGTAGCTATTCACATGGCATCTGCTTGGCTGCAATGCATGTGAGGGCCACAACTTCTCAGGTCAGTCTAATGACCCGCATCATCCGCCTGCCTCAAGAATGTCAAATGCTCCCTCTGCTGGACAACACCTCAGGCTTGGGCTGAGCCCTAGAACCCACAGTTCCTACCATTTCCTGCAAGGTCCGGGTGTTTAGTGAGTTGATGGCCCTTTAAGAGGCCCTAGCTAGCTCCCAGTTGCCATGGAGACAACTGGATACAGACCGGGTAGCAGCAGCATGTCCCGGAAAGTACAACCTACAGGTGGGAAGAGGGCTGCAGGGACGGGCAAGGGGAGGGGCGTCTTCTCCCTCACCGTCCACCCTGGGGTGGCCTTGGAGGGGTCTGCTCTTGGGACCCCTGCCCCACCCTCTCCTCCCCAGGGTCTGCCATCTCAGCCTCTCCTCCCTCCATAGCCCCCAGAGCCCAGGAGCACCAGCTCTCAGCCCAGGAGAGTCGGCCACCCCCAGAGGCCAATGCTGAAGCCGTGCGCTTCCTCAGATCCCTTCGTGAGCCTGGGCAGTGGGCGGAGGGTTGGGCCCAAGTGTGCAGAGGAGAGGAGAGAGAAGGCCCAGACCCGGCCCTGTTGCTCAGCCTTGAGTCTCCTGGGATTCAGAAAGGGCATGAGGCCGATTTGTTGATATTCTTCCAGGGAAGACCCCAGGGATGGGGTGGAGGGTGGGGGTTCACCTGCTGCCTGCTATCGAGGCCAATGGAGGGGAAGCAGGGGCTGCCTGGGAGATGGGGGCTGAGGAGGGGGTGGGTGGAGCCCGGTGGGGGGGGGGGAGCACTGGTGGCCAGGGGGTCAGAGTTGAGGCCTAGGAGCGGGGGCTTCATCCATCCCCACCGGATGCTCGCCCCCAGGGCAGGAGGAGCTGCAGATGCTGTTCTTCTCCGAGACTCTGGTCATGGTCTCAGACTCAGGGGAGCCTCAGGGAGAGCTGACCATTGAGGTGCAGAGAGGAAGATACAAGGACGACTTTGGCCTCATGTCGCACTGCGTCCTGGTGCACGCCTTTAGCCGCGGCCTCATGGACAAGATGCTCTGCGGAAACTCCCTCCTGGGTAGAGTTCCTGCTGCCTGATGCTCTTCAGCCCCCATGCCCCCACCCCCATTCCCAGGACCTTTACTCAGGACCCACCCTTTGACTTGACCTTGGCACCAGAATAAGGCAAAGAGCAGGTGTGAGAGAGGAGGGGAGGTTAATCACAGCCACAGACTCAAGACAAGAGTGCCACTTAGTTCTCCTGTGAGTCCTCCAGCCTGGGCCACCCTCCCTGCCTGCAGTCTCCAGCCCCACTCCCTCCACTCCAGGCCATCTCTCATGGAACCTGGAGCTCATGGAACAACACAGTCAGGAGTTCATCAAGGTACCTTCTGGAGCCCCCAACCTTGACCCTAATCCAGGGTGAGAGAATAGAGACTCTGGGAGGAAGGCAGGGGGGTGGGCTCAGTGGCTTGTCTCCCCAGTTACTATGTAGTCCCCACCACACACAACTTGGAAACCAATCCAGCCAGGGCACTGGAGGTCAGCAGCAGGGCGCTTCTGATGACCTTCTCCTGACACACAAACCCTGTGTCCAGCCCACTCTGGTCCTCCTCAGCCAGCATCTGCACTGGCCTTTCCCAGAGCCTGGCCTTTCCCAAGGACCTGTCACCACCTCAGCTCCAAATTCTCCCGCTCTGCGCCCCTCACGCCCAGCCCCAGCCACCTCATTAACTTCTGGAACGGGACCCGTTTACACACTGGAAACCACTCGTGCCTAAGAACCTTCCCACAGACACCATTCCCATCGTTTAAAACATGTATTCTGAAGTGCGTGTGCTCTTTAACTTCCTATCGCACCATCATATGATGTCTATTCGTGAGCTTTACGACACGTGGAAGGTTTTCCATCCAAATCTCCCCATCCTCACGAAGGAGAATGGACTAGGTGACCTCTGGGGGGTCCTGTTCGTATGGGATCCGGTGAGTTTCTGCTCTCCACTCCATGCTCTGGCCCTTAGTTCCACATCCTCCCCATGGAACGGAAGACGAGTTTGCTGAAGCAGGATGATCAACTGGTCATGACCAGAAGCATCAAGGAGGGCCAGGTACGGGCGAGAGCCGGGTGGGAGCCGTCCTCCACATCCTCCCCGAAACCAGGAGCAGGGGCCAGATTGTGGTGAGGCCGGGAGCCTGGAGCGGGGACTCAGCAAGGACTGTATGCCCCGCCCTTGGCTTGCCCACCCTCCCAGCCCCTTCCCGGTTCAGCATTCCTGACCCAGATTTGTCCTGAACAGGAAGTGAAGACCGAAGTGGCTTTTTTCCCCTGGCACTCAATCACAGGCTTCATCTCCGAGGCTGCCAACCTGGTGTTGCTGAGGGTGATGGCCTGGCGGCAGACGGTGCCCAGCAACGCCCGCTTCCTGGCCTTGGACACAGAGGGCAAACTCTGCTATTCTACTTACGTGAGGGGTCGCCTGGGCAGGGGACTTGGCCTGGGGGCTAACTAGAAGGGGCAAGGAGGACACTGAGGTGGGAGCGGTGGAGTGGAAGAGGGGGCGAGGGGGTGAGACTTCCAAGAGCAGGGGAAAGCAAGAGCACGTTTGTCACAGAGATCAAGCATGGGGCAGGTGAAGTGAGTGAGAGGCACAGAAGGTGTGAGCAGTTGAGGGAAGCAACGCTTTTTACACAAAAGTCAGTGCAGGAAAAATAAACACAGCAGAGGGCTGTTTTTAAAGACATATTTTTTAACATCTGCAAATGGAACATCTCCAACTGCGCTTAAACATTCTTTTATTATGTCTCAACCCTGAAGGGTGTTCCTTTTTTTCTTTAACTTTAGCTAAAATTTCATAATCAACATACCTAGGACTTGCCACAATATATGATTTTGTGTGTGTGTGTGAGGAAGATCGTTCCTGAGTTAACATCTGTGCCAATTCAATCTTCCTCTTTTTGCTTGAGGAAGATTGGCCCTGAGTTAACATCTGTGCCCATCTTCCTCTATTTCATGTGGGACACTGCCACAGCATGGCTTCACAAGCGGTGCTAGGTCCGCACCTGGGACCCAAACCCGCAAACCCCCGGCTGCTGAAGCAGAGTGCACAAACATGACCACTACACCACGGGGCCAGCCCTGCAATGTGTGGTTTTAGCACCATGCCTCTGAACACACCCTCTGGGGCTGATTTGACCAACTTTGTAAATGACACTCTAGTCTTTTCTATCACACACATGACACACAGCAAAGTGTTTGACACAAACAGGCACATGCCACTTCCCCCCCTTTTCTCTGAAACGTGTTTTATGTAGCCATAACAGGGGTTTCAGTGTTCATCACAACAGGGGACCCTACCTGCGGCAGCACGGGCCTGGGGCAGCCACCGTCTCAGTCTAGTCTCACTCCACAGAGCCTCCTGCCCCTGCCCCCAAGAGCCCACCCCCATCCACCCCCTAAGTGGTTGGTCCTCAACCCTGTCACAGAATCTGCCACCCAGAAGCACTTGGTCATTGAGATGGCAGAGCAGGGTGCAGCTGGTTCTCTGTGAAGGGACCCTCAACTTAACTTGGGGGTGAAAATCAGATCTCGGGGCACCTGAGGGTCCAGAAGGCCAAGGGTTGCTTATCACTGGTAAACAACTAATGAGGCTGCAAGAGGGAGCAAAGGGCCCGGGTGAGATTGGCGGGGAGCCCCTGGCAGGCACCCACCTCACCTCCCTCCCTCCATTTCGGCTGCTGCCAGCAAGCCCTGGGCTCCCAGGCGATCCAGGTGGGCCACCAGCAGGTGGAAGTGTTCACCGTGGAGCAGACTGTGCACTCGGAGGAGGGCATCCCCATGTCCTGCCAGTTCTACCTGCTCCCTGATGGGTGAGCTACCCACCCCAGGCCGGGGGCACTGTTGAGCCAAGCAGGGGTGCAGTGATGGAGGGCGCGGGCGCAAAGGGGATGCCGTTTCTGGGGACTCCAGGAAGAGCAGCTGTTGAGGCCTGAGTGCCCCTCGCTTTACCCACATCACTCACCCCTTCTGCATTTATTTGCACATCCTCCTGGCCCTCACGGCACCTCGAAACCGCCCTAAACAGCCCTGAACGGTTGAGGACGTCCACTCGGACTCCACAGGGCCGATGGCATAGCTAAAGCAGCTGCCACAGGTGTCGGGTGTGATATTGAAAAATGGCAAGATTTGAACAACTCGATAAAATCAATGTGCTGGGAGAAGCATCCTGGCACACTGCCAAGCGGTCACCAGCAAAGCGTAGGCACCAGATGGTGAGAAAATTCGGGAGGGGGAGAAGAATTTGTTTTTTGAAATTTCCAGAGGTATTGACATAATCATTTCCCTGGGAAAAAAGTAATCAGAGCATTCTTGGCTTTCCTTACTGTTGTAACTTAGCGTGTTGTTTCTATTTTGAGTGTTGCATAGCGGGAGGTTCCTGGTTTTTTGGTGCTTATGCTTCTAAAGTTCCCAGTCCAGCCCTGGCACACCAGCAAGCATCTCCAGCATACAAACAGTACCCAGTGTGAAAAGGAGGGGCCGTTCTCTGGGGATCTAGAAATGAACAGGACCCTGCCACACAGACAAGTCAGGAGGGAGTAAAGGGAGGCCCCTAAGACATCCCTCAGGGGAGTGGGCTGGTCCAGGAAGATGCCCCTCTCACACCTTCTTCTGTGTTGCTCCCCAGGCACGTAGCCAAGAGAGTCCAGGTGGGCTCCCCCGGCTGCTGCATGATCACCAAGATGCCCATCTTGAGGGAGGAGGGTGAGTGAAACCTCTGGCTGGCGGCGGAGTGAAGGGGAGGCGGGAAGCCTAGGGCCTTCCAGGGCGCAGGGGCTGGATTAAGTGTGGGATGAGCGGGAAATCAGACGGAGAACCTTTGCCCTCTAGCCCCTGACCCCAAGGCAAGTTTGTGGGAAACCCCTTCCAGCAACTCTGCCCACGTGAGCAGAACCTTGGGGTTTCAGCCGAGCCTGCAGCTTGGCTGTTCTTGGGCATCCCTCTGTAGCCCAGGAAGGTTCTGGGGTCCGTGTCCGCAGCCTTCCTCCCTCCCCACCCAGATGAGATTGAGCCTCGCCCAGCATTTGAGAAGAAGCCCCTGGTGTGGGAGGAGGACGTGGAGCTCTACTCGAGGTTCATGGAGCGGAAGGTGAGGGGGGCGGCAGCCAGCCTGGGGGCCCCATTCCCCGGCCAGGAACCCTCTTTCCTGAGCTCTCCTGTGCCTGGTTAAAATGCATGCCCCTGGGGGCTGGGAGGCCCCAGCATCCCTAAGCCCTCCTTGGAGAGAAGAAGGGGGGCCTCCTGGGGCGGGGGGGTCCGGGTCGGGCTCAGGCTCGGTCCTCGGTCCTCGGTCCCCGGCAGGAGGAGCTCCGTCTCAGCCACAACAGCTACCTGCGGCAGCACCCGGAGGCCCACGCGCTCATCTCCGATTTCCTGCTGTTCCTGCTGCTGCGCCAGCCCGCCGACGTGGTCACCTTCGCGGCCGACTTCTTCGGTCCCTTCGCCGTGCGCCGCCGGCCGACCCCCTCCCTGCGCTCCTCCAACCGGCCCAGCCCCTTCCGCTCGCTGGACCCGGAGTGCAGCCCCAGCGAGGGCTAGCGGGGCGCGCCGCCGGCAGGAAGCGGGGCCTCCGGCAGGCCAGGCGGGACGCCCCCGGGGGCGCGCTTTCCGGGCTGCGGTTTGGATGGGAGTAAGCGGGGCCCTCCCGCGGCGCTGCCCTGCGAGCCGGAATCTTCCCTGGCCCACGTCTTGTCTTGCACTAAAAATAGGAACCGTTAACAGTGTCTATCGAGCTAACTGCAGCCTTTCTTCCTAGATGCTATTATTACCAATATTCCTATTTTACAGAAAAGAAAATAGAGGCACAGAAAGGTAAAGTAGCTTTTAAGAGTTAGCAGGTGGGACGCAGGCTTCATACCTGGACGTTGGTTTCCAAACCCGGTCACTAGGTTAGCGGGGGGTGCAGGGGCGGAGCTTCTTGGCGCTCGGAATCACCCTGGATACCACGAAGAGTAATTCCCCGCTCTCGGCTCCCAAAGAAAAAGAGCAGACGAAGTGGGGCGACTGGGGCGGGGTCTGGATCACCACCGGTCTTGCTCATCACCTCCGAAACCTGCCAAAACACCCGCCCCCAGCTCTCACTCTCCACCTCCTTCCTCCCGGTTCCCACTGATACACAGGAACCCCCAACTGCAGGCCGGGTCCCCAGTTCCCGGCTCCCGGAGAAAAGAGGACCGGCAAGTGATCATCCCCTCCTTTAGCTTCCTTGCTTTACGTTTGTCTGGTCAGCGGCTTGTTTCTGCCCAATGATGGCCACCGCTCAGTGGCAAATATTAGGCGAGCTCCCCCAAGGCAGCTGGTGACGGGGTGCTGGCTCCATCCCTCCATCTATTCGCTCATCCGACCTGCTGCTGCAAGATGGGAACTCGGAGACGCCCTGCGCTCTAGTGGACGATAGGAGTCGGCATCTACAGGGCTGGGGGGTGGGGTGGGGGTCTGTGACCCAGGAATCAGGAAGTTTTCATAGAGAACTGCCACTTGAGTTAAGCCTTAAAGAATTTTTAATATCTTTTATTGCCTCCTTATTTCAAAGGAAATACGCATTCATTAGAGAAAACTTAGGGCGATAAAAAGAAGGGAAATCACCTTAATCGTTCAACCTTGAGGCAGCCACTCCTAACGTTTCAGCAAATAACCTTTCCACTCTTTTTTCTAAGCATAAATGTGGTTGGTGTTTGGTGAGCGTTTACTCTGCCAAGCACTTTCATAGAGAATGTTTCATCCGGTCTTTCCACTCCAAGGGACTGGGTCTTTTTTTTTTTTTTTTTTAACAAAAATGAAATCATACAGTAGTACATGCTCATTAACTGGCAATTGCATACTTAATTACATTCTTGAAAAGTTTCAAACATTACAGACAAACCTGGGATCTTCCTGGATTACCACCCCAATCTCCTTGCATTTGTAATTTTTTTCGTGTGTTGTAACTGGCTTTGTTTCATTTAACAATATATTTTGAAACTGTTTCCATGTCATTACGCAGTCTTCCATTTTGGATGGCTCTATCATAATTTAACCAATTTCCCACACACGCATCTTTTTTTTTTTTTGCTATTATAAACAATGCTGCATTAAACATCCTTGTAGCTCAGTCTTTACATATATCAATAATTATTTCCTTAAGGATACATTCTGAGAAGTGTAATTATTGACTTGATCTTAAGCTTTTGTTTGTTTCAGCATATTGCCAAATTCTGCATATGTAGGGTTTTTATTAAGAACAAGATAGGGGCTGGCCCTGTGGCTGAGCAGTTAAGTTCGTGCGCTCCACTTCGGCTGCCCAGGGTTTTGCCAGCTCGAATCCTGGGTGCGGACATGGCACCATTCATCAAGCCACACTGAGGCGGTGTCCCACATGCCACAACTAGAAGGACCCACAACTAAAAATACACAACTATGTACCAGGGGGCTTTGGGGAGAAAAGGGAAAAATAAAACCTTTAAGAACAAGATAAAGCATTCCAGGCAGAAAAAATGTCACGAGCAACGAGTTAAAGGAAGAAAGTGAAATGGGTGTTCATGGTCTAGAGCAGCGGCATCCAATGACACTTCCCACAATGACGGAAATGTTCTGTATCCACAATCTCCAATATGGTAGCCGCTAGTCATACGTGGCCCTTGAGCACTAGGAATGTGGTTAATATGACTGAGGAACTGGAGTTTTGCTTTAATTTAATTTTAGTTAATTTCAACTTAAATAGCTACACGTGGCTGGTGGCTACCATATTGGAGAGCAACAGCTCCAGAGGGCAAGGTCTTTTCATTCAATCAGGCGAGCAGCGCAGCAGCTATCAGGCCCCTTCCATGTGCTGGGGTGGTTCTGGGCACGGGGGGATCTGCAGTGACCAGACAAAGTCCGTGTCCTTGTGGCGCTCACAGGAAGTGGGGGGAGATGGATGAGAAACACAAAAGGTAATTTCATATGTGACATTCTAGCTTTATGGAAACAAACAAAGCTAAGTCATGGGTAGAAAGTGACTCCGGCTGGAGGGTGGAGGGTGGAGACTTCTGGGGGACCTCTCTGGGGTCTCAGTTGAGTGGGGACCTGAATGACAAGGAGTCACATCTGTGAAGAGCTGCGGGAAAAGCCTTCTAGGCAGAGGGCACAGTGAGTGCAAAGGCTCTGAGCACGGCATGTTGGGGACAGAAGGCCAGCGAGGCTGGAGCGCAATAAGGTGAGAGAGGCTGGCAATGAGAGTGTACAGTCATTGCAAGACAGGCAGGACCAGGCCACGCGGTCGTCCTAGGCCCCGGCCAGTTCTCTTCATCCGTGGAGAACTGAAACTGAGGCTGACCCAGCCCGGTGCACCCAGAACATCCCCAAAGAGATCTTGAGAGCCCCCTCCAGTCCCTGATACCCTGGAGCAGTGGGGCAGAGGGGAGGGCGGTGACATTCGACCCACAGATATCTTTCCTCTGCTGAGCCCTCTTGCATCAGGCGCCTAGGGAAGAAGTCCACTACTTCCCTGTCTCCTCTGTGACATCTGTTTCAAAACTGGTTTGTTTTTAGATGGTAACATTTGCCCCCAAAACTTCTATGACTCCTTCTTCTTGCTCCATAATACTAAGGTATATATTTCTCTCAATAAAGAAAAAACAAATGTTGAGCACTTCTGAAGTGCCGGGCACTGAACGAGGCCCTGGGGATGCAGTGGGAGCGTGGGGGCCTGGCACAAAGTCAGCCTGGAAGGGACGAGACATCCGTCAGTGATCCCATGGATGAGGGCAGAAGTGTGGACCGTGGCAAGTGCCCAGAAGGAAACGTCTACAGTCGATATTGGAGCATCTAGCGCAGACTTGAGCTGGTCTGGCTGCGCAGGGAGGCAGGAGGAAATGAACCGTGATGAGAAGAGCAAGCCCTACACAGCCCCTGTTCTTCTAATCCCTCTACACGCGGCAATTCACGTGATTCTCACAACACCCCTCGCAAGTGCCACAGATGAGGGAAAGGTTAAGGCCACGGCCACCCACCTGGTTCGTGGCAGAGCCAGGATTTGGACCCAGGGAGTCTGGCTCGAGTCCATGCATGAGTCCACTCTGTGTGGCTGGAGAGAGAGATCCCAGAACAGAGAAGAGGCACCCTCCCGCTTTAGGTACGTCCAGAGCGGGCTTGACTGTCCACTGTCTTTCCGCTTTCCCAGGCACCCAGAAACTGCCCCAGTCCCTACTGCCTTGTCACTGACAGCAGCCGCACTGCTGTGAGCTGGCTTGGCAGACGGGAGGGCATCGTGCTGAGGGAACACACAGCCCGGCCCTGGGGAGATCAAGGAAGGCTTCCTGGAAGAAATCACATCACAGCTGAGTCATGAAGGACAAGAGGCCCTTTCTCCGGGCAAAGGGTATGGAGGATGTTAGAGGAGGAAGCAGCATATGCAAAGGCCCAGAGGGAGCATTGAACGTCTGAGCTACTGAAAGGGGTTCAGGACTAGATGCTGAAGGGTCTGGGAGCCAACCAGAGCGTTGCCCACCATCTGGGAGACTGAGCGCCCCCAGAAGCGCATCAGGCAGATTCCCAAAGGCCCATGTGTTTCTGCAGGTTTTTCTCCCACAAAAAGCCATAACGAGAGCAGACAAAGAGCAGCACAGATAGATGGAGCCCTACAAGAAGACTCAGTGTGTAACAGAAAGTGCGTTTGGAGTTCCGAAGAACTGGCAGTGACCAACGACATTTTGGAACCCAATTTACAAAGCAACTAATGGCACAGTGCTAGGTGCATATCTTGGGCCAAATAGAAACTCTAGGGTAAATACTTTTATTATCCCCACTTTACAGGCAAGGAAACTGAGGGCCTAGGAAACTTGCCTGGGTCATGGAGCTGGTAAGTAAGATTCAAACCCAGCCATTTGATTCCAGAGGCGCTGGTGGGGTGTTTTTTTTTAAAATCAGTTTTATTGAGGTATAATATTCATTCAATAAGGTGCATCCTTTTCCTCCATTTTTAAAGTTGAGATCACGTTTAGTTGTAAGAAATAATTCAGAGAGATCTTGTGTACATTTTGCTCGCTTTCCTCCAGTGGCAACATTTGCAAATGTATAACACAATATTACTACCAGGACTTTTTTTCACTTTTTTTTGGTGGTAAAATATACATAAAATTTACTCTTTTAACCATTTTTAGGTGTACAAGTCAGTGGCATTGTGTACATTAACACTATTGTGCGACCATCACCACTGTCTATTTCCAGAATGTTTTTATCATCCCAGACGAAGACTCTGTACCCATTACGCACTAACTTCCCTTTTCCCGCTTCCGCCAGCCCCTGGCAACTCTCACCTGACTTTCTGTTTCTATAAATTTGCCTGTTCTCGGTCCCTTACATAAGTGGAAGATGAGTGGAATCATACATTTGTCCTTTTGTGTCTGGCTTATTTCACTTAGCATAATCTTTTCAAGGTTCATGCATATGATAGCATATACCAGAATTCCATTCCTCTTTAAAGAAACTATTTAATATTGTGTAAGGAAACAATATTCCATTGTCTGGATACACCTTATTTTGTTTATTCATCTGTTGACGGACATCTGGGTTGTTTCCACATTTGAGCTGTTGTGAAAAGTGTTGCCATGAACACGGGTATACAAGTATCTCTTTCAATGCCTGCTTTCAATACAATCGGGATATTGACATCGACACAATCCGCGATCTCCAGATTTCTCCACTGTTACTCGTATTCATTTGTGTGTGTGTGTGGGTGCGTATTGAATTCTGTACAATTTTATCATACGTGTAGGTTTGTGTCTGCACCACCAAGGTCAAGCTACTGAGCAGTGCCAACACCACGTTACCCTTTCGTAATCACACCCACCTCCCCCCACCCCCCACCTCACCCGTCTCTACCTGCTGGCAACCACTAATCTGACCTTTATTCCCAAATTTTGTCATTGCAAAAATGTCATATAAGTGGAACCATACAGTGTGTAACGTTTTGAGATGGACTTTTTTCACTTGGCGTGATGTCCTGAAGATGCATCCGTGTGTTGTGCGCATCAATAGTCTGTTCCTTTTATTGCTGAGTGGTAATCCGTGGTTTGTACTGCAGTTAATGTAACCATTTTCCTGTCGAAGGATATCTGGGCTAATTCTAGTTTTTGGCTATTCCAAATAAAGCTGCTTTAAACACTCATATACAGGTTTTTGTGTGAACATAAGTTTTAATTTCTCTGGGCTAAATGCCCAGGAGTCCACTCTATGGTTGGATATCCCATAGTCTAGTTAACATCCACCTGTTAAAGGACAATATGGATTGTTCCCGTTTGGGCTATTATGAACAAAGCGGCTATAAAAATTTGTGTAAAGATTTTTGTGTGAACATGAATCATCATTTCTCTGGGAAAAATGCCCAGGAGCGCAGTCACTGGATCATATGGCAAGTGCATCTTTAGTTTTTTAAGAAATTCCCAAACTGTTTCCAGAGGGGCTGTACCATTTTTACATTCCCCCCAGCGTGATCTAGTTTCTCCACATCCTCGCCAACATTTGGTGTTGCAACTATTTTTTATTTTAACCATTCTGATAGGGGTGCACGATGCCTCGTTGTGATTCTAATTTGCATTTCCCCCATGGCTAAGGGCGCTGAACGTCTTTTCCTGTGTTTGGTTGCCATCTGTACGCTCTGGTGAAATGTCTGCTCGTGATTTTTGCCATTTCTGATTGCATTGTTTGGTTTTTGACTGTTGAGTTTTAAGAGATTTTTCTACTTCTAGTCACCAGTTATTTGTCAGATTTGTGGTTTGCAAATTTTTTTCTCTGAGTCTTTAGCTTGTCTTTTCATCCTCTTTTTTTGGTGCATGTGTGTGTGTGTGAGGAAGATTGGCCCTGAGCTAACATCTGTGCCAATCTTCCTCTTTTTGCTTGAGGAAGATTGGCCCTGAGCTAACATCTGTGTGTCAGTCTTCCTCTATTTTATGTGGGACGCCATCGCAGTGTGGCTTGACCAGAGGTGTGTAGGTCCGCGCCCAGGATCCAAACCTGTGAACCCCAAGCCACTGAAGTGAACACGTGAACTTAACCACTACGCCACTGGGCCGGCCCTGTCTTTTCCTCCTCTTAACAGGGTCCTTCACAGAGCTAAAGTTTTTAATTTTGATGAGGTCTAGTTTATCAATTTTCTACTTTATGGCTCATGCTTTTGGTGTCAAGTCTAACAAATCTTTGTCTAGTCCTACATCCTAAGGATTGTCTCCTACTTTTTTCTAGAAGTTTTATATTTACAATTAAGTCTGTGATCCATTTGGACTGAATTGGGCTTCATGCAATTTCACCCCGTGCATGCAGGGCTCGGTGCTCAGCAAAAGCTCCAGCTCCAGGGGCCCGCCATGCAGATTTCTGGCGTTCCAGGTCATGCGGCTTCTTGCTCTCATACTCTCCCCAGGACCTCTGCTCTTTTTATTTTTTAAATTTTATTGAGGTCGCCTTGGTTTATGGCATCACATACATTTCAGGTGTGCATCATTCTATTTCGACTTCTGTGCAGACTGCATTGTGTTCACCAGCAAGAGTCTGGTTTCCATCTGTCACCATACACATGTGCCCCTGAGTGCTTTCGCCCTCTGGTAACCACCAATCTGTGCTCCTTATCTGTGTGTTTTCGAACCTCTGCCCTTAACCATTACACATCTGCCTCTTCCGTAAGTTAGAGGGCGTGCAGGGTGTTGATCAGTCATTAACCGTTTACACTTACTGAGTCCTTACCTATAGGTAAGGCCCCACAAAAGACGCAAAGAGGAGGACGTCTGTCTTAGTCGGGATTCTCCAGAGAAACAGAACCAATAGACAACGCAGATAGAGGGACAGAGTGATAGACAATAAGGAACTGGCTCACACGAGTGTGGAGGCTGAGAAGTCCCACGCTTTGCAAGCTGGAGACACAGGAGCCCATGGTAGATATAGTTCCAGTGCGGGTCTGAAGGCCTGAGACCCAGGAGAGCCGATGGGGTAAGTTCCAGCCGGAGCCAAGTCTGAAGGCAGGAGAAGGCCAACGTCCCGGTTCAAAGACAGGCAGGGAGGGAGTCGCTTGCTCAGCTTTGGTCCAGTCGGGTCCTCAGTTGATTGGGTGAGCCCATCCACATCAGGGAGGGCCATATGCTTTCCTCAGTCTATGATTCAGTTGTTAATCTCCTCCCAAAACACCCTGACAGACACACCCAGAATGTCTGCCTGAATTTCCAGACACCGGTGGCCCAGTCAAGGTGACACGTGAAATGAACCATCACATCATCCTGGCCCCCGCCCCCACACCAGCCGTTCCCGCATGATCCCAAGGTGGCAACTGGGAAATGTGTGCAAACCCCAGCGGTCAGGGACAGTGAGGGCACCTTGAGCAACGGGATTGCACAGTGATGAACCACCATGCTGCCCTCTCCCCTCTGACCACCATCACCCCTCTTCCCGCACCCCCACCTCTCCAGGCCCTCCAGTCTCCCCCATCAACGAGGAGCCAAGAACCTGGCAAGCTCCCTGCACCCTGGTCCCAAGCTTTGGCTAAAGTTGGTGACTCAGCATCGGGATACATCCGATCCCGGATCTGGTCTGGGCCTGAGGACCTGCCCTATTTTCTCTGCGTCCAGAGGCCTCAGACTTTGAAGTTGGAAACCCCATGACAATCCAGGTTTTGAATCATCTTGGAAGAGAAGGAAGGCTTCAGGATAGAGGGCTTGAGGGGGCTTGAGAGGGCTTGGTGGGGAGAAGATCCTAAGAGAGGGAAGTGGAGGAGAACAGGAGCTGGCAAGGAGAAGAAATCAGGAGGCAGCAGGGTCTTGCCCATCATTTGTGCAGAGGTTACAGACTGATGGCCCTCAAGTGGAATCCAGCCCATAGGAAGCTTTCGTTTAGATTACACAATATTTTCTTTTTTCTTTTTTTGAGCCTAGTATTCAAAAAGCATCTGTTGCATAAAATTCCAAATTTTCCAGCAACTTTGACAAATCAGATGATATGATGACAGTAGGCACACATCTCCACATGACTATTGGCTGGAACTCTGTAGGCACTGCCCTCTTACTCATAGACAGAGTAAGTGACCTCCGTTTTGCTAAAGTCTCCGCTACTCCCTATTGTCCCCTGACACTGAGGCTCAGCATCATTTGTTATTTAACACTAAGCTGGCACGGTTTTTCTTGCTCCCAACCTGTCTCATAGTTTATCTCACCTGCCCGGCCCCCGTGGGCACCTCAATTTTTGACCTCTTAGCCCGTCTGAGCCCTTAATTTAACAGAAGAAAGAAGCTCGGAGAGAGGACACGATCTGGTGGACAATCGCAAGAGAATCAGTGGCAGAACCAAGACCAGTATTCCAGTGCCCCTTTTTCTGCAAATCTCCCTGGCTTGAATCTTCAAAGCATGTCCCTGTAGCAGTGCCAGGAAGGTCTTTTCCTCTGAGGCACTCAATGGAAACTGAGGCCTGGGTAGCCATCAGGACTCCCTCCCTCCCATTAGTGGCCATGGGACTCCAGATCAGGGAGGAGGAGAATCTGCGTGTGCGTGTGCACGCGCGCGTGCGTGCGTGTGTGTGTGTGTGTGTGTGTAGGCAGTCATGTGACCTGGGCGTGCATGCCCGAGTGGCAGGAAGTGTCTTGAAATCAGATCTCACGTAGGAGGCACAGAACATGGGTGCCTGGAACGGGGCCAGAGATATTGTGGGGCTCAGGCCAGGAGGGGAGTGAAGTCTCCACCGTGGCCAACCAGGCCTTCCGCAGAGCCGGCCACTTCTGCCTTTGGAAAGTGTTTCACAATGCCCCACGTTTGTGAGGCCAGTGAGCTCAGCTGAGGATGGGTCGAGGGTGTGGGCTCACACACTCACATGCACCAGCACCCAGACAGGGAGCACAGGCCGAGGAGCTGCCGGGCAGGCGGGGCCCACGCAGAGAGTGCCAGAGCCTGCCGTCCTCATGACAGGTGAGGAGCCCCTCTAGGGACAGTGCCTGGATGGGGAGTGGGGCGAGGGAGAGGCAGGGAGGCCAAGGAAGCCCCTGATCCCCCATGGGAGTCCTTGACGTGACCCACTTCTGGACACCAGCCTGGAGCTGGGCTGTCCACGTCCACACAGGAGTGGCTGATCTGGGTGCCTCTGGAGCCCCTGAGCTTCCTTGGCTGCTGGAGGAGGCAAGGGGCACACATGTCGGCATCGCTGTGCCCTCCTCAGAGCCCAGCGTCCCTCTCTGCATCCTCTGTGGCAAGAGAGATCTGGATTCAGGAATCTGCGCTTGCAGGGGAGGAGGGCAGTTCTGAAGGCTCCACTCCCCACACATCTTCTGGAACGTTTGGTAGAGGGGTGGCAGTGGTGGACCCCAGATGGCAGTCGAGAGCATCTATTCGGTTGGGCCTTGATTTCTCCACTTTGCCAGGAGGAGGTGGGAGAGGAAGACAGATGGCTTTAGCCCTGGGCCACTGGAAAGAATCAGGTCACTCACCATGCCTCCTGGGGCCCTTTGCAGGTGACAGTGGAGCCCCAAGGCTAAGCCGGCCCAGCTATGGCTCCATCTCCAGCTCACCCAGCCCAGGGCCACAGCAAGCACCTCCCGGAGGGACCTACCTGAGTGAGAAGATCCCCATCCCGGACACGGAACAGGTGGGAATGATGAAAACTCCCTGGGCTCTTTCAGGACTGACAGGATCATGTGGGACCTCACAGGCTGGAGAAGGGAGGTCCACTGAAGACCAGGGCAAGCCCTTTCTAGCTCTGAGCAGCAGTGATGGACAGTAGCAACTGCCCCCTTCCCTCTTCTGTCCCCAGTGCTTAGCTGGGGTGCTCATTATTTGTCTAAAAATTATCAAGTGGCTTTCTGAATGAATCTCAGCTTTCCTATGAGGGGAAAGGGGCCTGGGGTGAATTCGGGTTGGGGCCTCGAGGATTTCTGGTAGCATCGAAGGAAAGGACCAGACGTCAGGAGGCATCGGGAGAAGTGAAAGAGGCTGCAGGCTGGCTTCTAGAATGCTGTCACCCTGCATCGCCGGAATCTTCGGCGTATGCCCAGGCTGCCAGGCCAAGCCCTGGAATGGGAACGGGGGGTCGCTAGGCTCAGCAGACTCCAGAGAGGAGAGCGTGTGGTCTGAGAAGGGGCTGAGGAGGGGGAGGCTGAGCTACGGAGTCTTGACCCCAGGAAAGCCCCCCGTCGGGCTCTAAGGATCTGCTGAATCAGAGCTTGCACAAGGCACGCTGCCAAAAAAGGCAGAAAGAGGACCCACTGTGATTCAGCAAATCCTGCTAGTTCCTCCCACCCCAGGCCCTCCACTAAACCCCCAGGGGTGGCAGCTCCCAGGATGGGGAATGGAGGGCAGGGCTGGCCAGCCTGGGCTGATGAGCCCATTGGAACTCAGCCGGGAGCTGGCCATGGCCAGCTGCTCCCACCCCAGTACCCAGGACCCCCTCGCTCCACTCCCACCTGCAGGGCACGTTCAGCCTTCGGAAGCTGTGGGCCTTCACTGGGCCGGGCTTCCTCATGAGCATCGCTTTCCTGGATCCAGGAAACATCGAGTCGGACCTTCAGGCTGGCGCTGTGGCTGGATTCAAAGTGACTGAGTTGGGGCACCATGGGGAGGGGGGGTGACAGGGCTAAGTGGGTGGAGACCCCCAGCTCAACACATTTCCCCAGAGAGGCCTGCATGGCTGGTGTTCCTGGGAGCAGGTGTTAAGTTCAAATGGGCCAGAAAGGGGTCTCCAGGGCCACCCTGCCAGAGCGTGGAGTGTATGGGGGGTGGTCTTCTGGCTCCATCTCCCCCATTCTCTCCCTAAGGAGTGTCCTTGGTTAGAGGGTACCGCCAGCCCGGAGGGTCCTCAGAGACTGGCCCCTGTGGGTGAAAGCGTCTCCCTGCCTTCTCACAGCTGCTCTGGGTGCTGCTGTGGGCCACAGTGTTGGGTTTACTCTGCCAGCGACTTGCTGCCCGGCTGGGTGTGGTGACAGGAAAGGACTTGGGCGAGGTCTGTCATCTCTACTACCCTAAGGTGAGCTTGGTGGGCCGGGACAGGAAACACTCACAGGCCACAAACAGCCATTTATAGCTTCCGTGGTCAAATAAACACATCATCTCAGGTGGGGCATCACGGGCCCATTTGATAGATGACAAGAACTGTTACCCAACCAAAGCGGGCTCCGTTCTCGGTGAGTTGAAATTGAAGCCTTCAGCAGAATTAGTCGTTACACAGAGCACAATTTATTTGCAGCAAAGAAGGAGAACGCGGGGAATTCTGCAGCCGTGGCTCCCCAAGCACAGGAAAGCAGGGCCTTTTATTTCGGATGGGGAATGAATATTCAAAAGGGAGAGGCAGGTATTGGTTCCTCAGGCGCAGTTTGAAAACATGCTTCCACCTACATCACATGTTATGGTAATAAGGCCTAAGCTCCTCCTGGGGCGGAGATCTTAACATTAAAATGAAGCAGAGGTAACTCTTGGCCGTTTCTCCGCCCATCTGTGCAGTTGTCCTAGTGGCAGGGTTTGGACCAGTTCAGGGTGGTTGGTGATTGCATCTCTTAACATAACTAAAAAGACAATCTGGAGAAATAGTTAAGTGCTTCCAAAACCTCCTTTGAGTTATTTGGGGCAGTTAGTCGGTGACAGAATGAGGCTCAAACTCATAGGATACAGACTCAGAGGGACGTTAGAGATGCTCTGCTCACTTAAGAAGGGGAAACTGACACCTGGGGGCGTGACACAGCCAAGGAGAAAATAGGTAAGCATTGGGTCGGGATGGTCATTGGCCAAGGCGAACACTGAGGACACTGGCTATTGTCAGTATCCAGGTAGGAAAACAGAAGCTACACCGCTAGATATTTGAAAGGTATTTCAAATGCAGGGATGTAGTCGCAAAGGTTTTGGAAGGGCTGGAGGAACAAGGCGGAGGAGGGACCCAGAGATCAGAAAGCTGCTGGGCAGGAGGCCGAGAGCCATCATTTGCTGCCACTGCTGAAATGGCCACCAGCACTGCGGGGGCCCAGGCTGCCTGTTGCCACGGCCAGAAACACTACCAGAAGCAGGGGAAAATGATTTCTTCCTGCCTTTCAGTCTCCCATAAGTGTCTCCTTCGAAAGCTAACTGGAAGCCAGCTGGCAAGGCCGTCTTACAATGTGGTTTACAGGCTTCCAGCCCAGCAGTATAGGGCCAGGTGTGGAAAGCTGCGGGCAGGGCCAAGACAACAGGCAGACAGCTGGCCCAGCCTTGACGAAGGGTTACCTCCTCCCCTAGCTGCCCCGCACCATCCTCTGGCTGACCATCGAGCTGGCCATCGTGGGCTCGGACATGCAGGAGGTCATCGGCACCGCGATTGCATTCAATCTGCTCTCAGCTGGACGGTACTGCCCTGGGGTCCCCCTGCTCTTCACTCCAGGGCTGGGGACAGCTGCTGTTCCCCCCCCCCCCAGGCCTTGTACTTCCCTGTGTCCATTTCATCCTGCATCCCCTCTGACTCAGAGCGTTGCCCAGTGTCCTCTGGGGAACCTGGGATGTGCAGAAGTCAGTCACCACGCAGCCATCAGCACCCAGCCCAAGCTCCCTGCCATGCTGGTCCCCCACCCAGCTTGGCCTTTCCTCGAAAGTTCTGTGCCATTTTCCTGGCTCCAGCACGCTTGCTCTCCCTTGTTGCATGGCTGGCTGGGGCCACTTGGGTCCCTGGTCCCAGAAGGCCAGATTCCACAGTCTCCAGCCCTGCGGGTGGGCATTCCAGACCCCTGGACCAGGCTGGGCTGACCCAGGCCGCTCTGGTTTCAGAATCCCACTCTGGGGTGGCGTGCTCATCACCATCGTGGACACTTTCTTCTTCCTCTTCCTCGATAATTACGGTGGGTGTGCCCCTCATGGCTGGGACCGCGCTGCGGGGTCGGAGCCCGATGCTCTGCTGTAGCGGGAAGAGTTCCCAGCGCGCGCCCGCCCTCTGGCTGGTGGCCTTGAGCAAGTACTCAGCCTGCTGCTTCTCCATCTGTAATACGGGGAAATAATAGCACAGACGTCACCGGGCTGCGGCCAGGACTCCAGGAGGTTTTAGATGTTAAGCAATTGGCACAGCGCCTGGAACAAAGTGCTCAAGATATCTGCCTTTAATAATTGCTTATGTTACAATTTTGCGGTATTTTTGCTCTGCCCCTTTGCTCTCCCTCCAGGGCTGAGGAAGCTGGAAGCCTTTTTTGGATGCCTTATTACCATCATGGCCTTGACCTTCGGCTACGAGGTGGGAAGCCAGAGCCGCAACACCCCTGACCAAGACCACCCCTCTCTCTGCCTTCTGCAGAGCCTGGGGGCGGGGCCACAGCCCGGGCGGCGGGGCGGGCGGGGTGAGACCGGCGGCGCCGGGGGCTGGGCCTGACGAGGCTCCTCCCCACAGTACGTGGTGGCCCGTCCCGCTCAGGGGCCGCTTCTCCGAGGCCTGTTCCTGCCCTCCTGCCCCGGCTGCGGCCACCCCGAGCTCCTGCAGGCCGTGGGCATCGTCGGCGCCATCATCATGCCGCACAACATCTACCTGCACTCGGCGCTGGTCAAGGTGAGCAGAGGGGAGGGAGGGAGACACGCCCACTGCCTTAGGGCCCCGCCTCCAAGCCTGGAGCCCCGCCCCTTTGGTCCTGCCCTCGCGATTTTAGGCGGGAAGTGAAGTCGTTCTATTTATTCAACATATAATAATAGAGCGTCTACTGTGTGCTGGGAGCTGGGGGTCGATGTGAAAGGATAGACAAGTCCTCTGCCTCCCTTGAGCTTGCGTCCCGGGGGCAGGGGACAGGGGGACAGACCACGAGCGAATACGCAAATGAAGGAAAGGATTCTGCGCTGTGAAAGATGCTCTGAAGGAAACAAATGAGAGAAGTATGATATGATAGAGAATGACTGAGGAAGGGGCTACTTTTGAAAAGGTAGTCAGGAAAGACCTTTGTAAGGAGGTGATCTTTGGGACATGAAGGATGGGAAGGACGATGGGGGAGAAGATATTCCAAGCAGAGGGAACAGCAAGTGCAAAGGCCCTGAGGCAGAAATAAACTGGGCATGTTTGAAGAGGGAGCCTGGCAAATGGAGGGGAGCAGGACAGGGGCTAAGGTAGACAGGGGCCTCAGAGGCCAGTCTCCCTTCACTCACATGGTTGGTCACTGTGGACCAGGCCTCTGGGCAGAGGTGTAGGAAGGGCTTGTCCCTGGCTGCCATGTAGGGGGCTTTAGAAAGAACTGGGGTTTGAGGGGAACACAGGTAGAGGTGTGAGGGTGAAGGATGTTGGGGTGGCTCTGAGGGACATTGGCTCTTCCCTCCCTTTGACCTCCTTAGTCTCGAGAGATAGACCGGTCCCGCCGGGCGGACATCCGAGAAGCCAACATGTACTTCCTGATCGAGGCCACCATCGCCCTGTCCGTCTCCTTCTTGATCAACCTCTTCGTTGTGGCCGTCTTTGGGCAGGCCTTCTACCAGCAGACCAACCAGGCTGTGGTGAGGCACGCCCCCCACGGGCCCCACAAGCTGACTGGGCACTCCAGGCCACACCACTGAGCCCTCTGCCTCTGCCCTGCACCCCGGCACCCTAGGGGAGGGAGTCTGTGACCCTGGCCTGGGGCTTGAGCCCCTCCCACCCCACTGGGGAGAGACCACTCCTCCCAGGTGGGCTCTTAGAGGGTCGGACCCCACCACGGGCTGCAAGGCATGGACATCCAAGGGGGGGGTGGTGACTGGGAGGGAGGCGCTGAGCCTCTAGGCCCCAGCTCTCCAGCCACCCCTTGAGGGGTGGGCGGGCGCTGCCCAGCCAGCTGAAGAGAGGGTGATCCAGGGGAGGTCCGGCCTGAGTGTGAGCCTGGAGTCAGAATGTGCGAGGCGGTCATTCTCTTCCGTGTGTCCTCTCTCCTGACAATCTCCATAGTTAGCAGAGAAACCGCACTCGTTCAGCCGATGTTGACTGCCTGTGTTATGTACCAGGCTGTGCCCCAGACCCTGCGGGTACAGCCGTGACACAAAGAGCCTGCCCTCCTGCAGGTTAAATGTGGAGGGTCGTGAGCAGACAGGAGCAAATCCACAAAGCAGTCCAAAGGGGAAGAGCATGAAGGAGAATAAAGGGGTGCTGACACAGAGGGAGGGGGCTGCGTGAGCCCCGGTGGGGCAGGTGGCATTTGAGCTGGCTCCCAAAGAGAAGGAGCCAGCCGGCTCCTGCCTGGCTCTCTGAGATGTGGGACCTGTGCCCGTCTCCCTTTCTGAGTGGGGCTCTGTCACCCGGTTCTGACAACCGCTAGCCGGTGTTGGGCGCTCGCTGAATGCTGGGCACTGTGCCAGGGAGGGCTGGCCAGGCCTCCAGGGACCTGGGCACTGCCACTGCCTTGCTATGTGACCTTGGGAAGTCCCAGCCCTCCCAGGTCTCACTCTGCTCCTTGGCACAAGGAGAGAGGTCTAAATAGGGATGGCCACTCCTTGTCTTCAAGACGTAGATTTGTGGGAAGCGGGTCCGGTGGAAGGGAGAGCGTGCTCTGGGGCAGCTCGCGTCACTGCCAGCCAGTTGTCTCTTTGCGGTAATGCCAGCTCTTACAAATCCAAGAGAAGCAGGAAACCGGGTTCTCACGTGAATTCTTCTCCATTTTAAATGTTAGCAACAAATTCACATTAAAGAAAAAAAAATTGTTAGCTAAAGTACGTCTGGCAGGATTTGGCCCGCGGGCCACTGTTTTTCCACCCCTGGTCAAGGCCTGGTGGTCTGATTTTACGAGACTGAGTGTGCGCTTCACATCTCCCTGCTCCTGCCCCGGTGCCCGCAGTTCAACATCTGTGCCAGCAGCCACCAGGACTACGCCAAGATCTTCCCCAGGAACAACCTGACCGTGGCCGTGGACATTTACCAGGGAGTAAGCGCGCCGCAAGGGTGGGCGTGGGAGGGCAGGATCCCTCCGGGCGGGCCCTTGCGGGGGCGGGGCCAAGTGCCTGACCACACCCCCCTCCAGGGCGTGATCCTGGGCTGCCTCTTCGGCCCCGCGGCGCTCTACATCTGGGCCGTGGGTCTCCTGGCGGCCGGGCAGAGCTCCACCATGACCGGCACCTACGCGGGACAATTCGTGATGGAGGTGGGGCCTGCGGCGGGTCCGGGGGGGCCAGGGGCCCTATCCGAGGTCAACGGGCACACTACTGGGGGCTCGGACACGGGCCTCGGTGATCCTTCAAGCAGCCCAGAGGGTACCATTGTAAGGCCCACTTTACAGAGGAGAAAAGAGACTCAGAGAGGTGAGGCAACTGGCCCGAGGCTGCAGACCCAGGACTAATAGAAGCATTTTCCCCAAAACTGTTTAGTCTTCAGCAATCAGCTGTGGAAGGACCCCCCCCCCAATTTCTCCCCATCTGTCCCCTCTGGGCCAACTAAGGTCAGAGCTGCCCCCATATCAGAAAAGGAAAAACAGAGGGTCCCCCCAGGCGTGAAATGGGCTGAGGGACGACAGGGGTCCCTGCTCTGGAATCCCCAGCCCTGTACTCCGCCACCAAGGTGCCCCCCCACCCCCCACCCCAGGGCTTCCTGAAGCTGCGGTGGTCACGCTTCGCCCGCGTCCTCCTCACTCGCTCCTGCGCCATCCTGCCCACCGTGCTCGTGGCCGTCTTCAGGGACGTGAGAGACCTGTCAGGCCTCAACGACCTGCTCAACGTGCTGCAGAGCTTGCTGGTGAGCGGGGGTCCCTACCACCCCTTCCCCTGCGGCGCCACACGGGAAGCAGAGCCATCCCCCATATTGAGCCCCCCTGCAAGGCTCACAGAATCCCCACAGCCACCCCAGGGGGTAGGATCCACCATTATCCCCGTTTTGCAGATTGAAAAACTGATGCACGTAGTTAAGTGACCAGCGGCAGAGCTGGATGCAGACTCAGGCAGCCTGGGAGCAGAGCCCCGAACACTTTCTCCTGCTTTGGAGCCCCCCAATCTTGGAGGGCACAGAGATGGAGAAACTGAGGCTCAGAGTGGTCAGGAGACTTGCCCAAGGGCACACAGCCAGGCAGAGGAGGACTGGATTACCCGTCCATCCCTCCCCTCCGCGCTGTTTTCCGAGGGCAGGGTCCCTCAGCCCCATCCTCCCGCTCCTCCCCAGCTTCCCTTCGCTGTGCTGCCCATCCTCACCTTCACCAGCATGCCCGCCATCATGCAGGAGTTTGCCAATGGCCTGTGAGTACTCCCCGGCCCAAGCACTGGACTGGCATTACTGCATTTGATCCTCAGAGCCCCCAGGAGGTAGGAATTACCATTATCCCCATTATCCAGATAAGCTCAGAGAGGTTAAGGAACTTGTACAGGGTCACACAGCTAGCAAGGGGTGGGGGAGGGGAGCCAGGACTGGAATCCAGGGGTGGGGGCTGTTTCTGGAGCCTGAGCTCCTCGCCCTTGTCTCAGACTCTGCTCTTGCCAAAATCCTGCAAATGTGCAGCCTGGAGGACCCAAGAGGCAGCAGTGGGTGAAGGGGCTGCTCCAGGTCTCACAGCCCGGAGAAGCCAGCTCGTGTATCCATCGCTCTCTCCCGCCCCAGCTCCGGGCTGGCGGCGGGCACTGGGGAGAAAGAGGAGGAGGAGATGTAGCCAGTCCTGAGCCCCCTTCTGTCCCCCAGGCTGAGCAAGATCGTCACTTCCTTCATCATGGCGCTGGTCTGTGCCATCAATCTCTACTTCGTGGTCAGCTACCTGCCCAGCCTCCCCCACCCCGCCTACTTCGGCCTCGTAGCCCTGCTGGCCGCGGCCTACCTGTGCCTCACCACCTACCTGGTACTGCAGGGTCTGCGGGGGGCCTTGGGGATGCGGGAGACCTGGAGAGGAGGCCACGGGAGGGGGCTGCACCGGGGCTTCCCCCGAGGCCTTGTCCCCGCTCTCCGCCCCTCACGGTCGCCCCTCCCCCAGGTCTGGACCTGTTCAATCGCCCACGGAGCCACCCTTCTGGCCCACAGCTCCCACCAGCGCTTCTTGTACGGGGTTCCTGAAGAGCAGCCAGAGCCCTCCGGATGAACTCCCACCCCGGGGCCTGGCTGCCGGTGGCATGAGTGGGTGGCATGGGTGCGGCAGACTGGGTGCTGGATGGGGGGCGGGGGGAGGCGGGGGTGGAGGCAGCAAGACGGCGTGGAGCAGCCTGGGTTCCACAGAGACCTGCTGTTTCCTAGTTCGGGCAACTGATTAACCTCTGGGTTTCAATGTCCTCATCTGTAAAATGGGGACACCACCAATCCTGCAATGGATGTAAAGCACTTTAACACAGTACGTGGCACTCGGGACTTAAAAAAAAAAAAAAACAAAAAACATTCCAAAAGTATTTATTGAGCACCTATAGGAGCGATCTGACAGACCGCCCCAGTGTGGGGCGGAACACAGGCTCCCCACTGGCGCTGTCGGATGAACGCTCTGTAAATTCGACTTCACTTCTTGTCCCAAAGAGCAGGGCAATGTCTGGTTTGCTCTTGGTCTCGCTGGAGTGGCCTCAGCCGTTCTGTTCCACCCACCCACAACCCATTTTCCAGGCAGTAAAATCGAGGCGCGGTTCTCCTCCCTTCAGGCGCCAGGTCAGAAGGATCCCAAGAGTCCTTGCCTCCGAGGCCCAATTCATTTGTCATCTCCCCAGGGGACCGGGCGGCCCAGACTCCCACGCCGTGCAGTTAACGCTCCCTCCGCGCTGACTCTTAGCTCCCCCTAGGGGCAGGGACGGTCCCGAGCGCCGACACTCCCAGCCTCGGCCTCACCCCTCCGGGCTGAAGAGGAGAAGGCGGGCGCTCCGGCCTCGCGCCCTGGGGCCTCGGAATCCGCCCAGGCGTGGAGGGGGCCGCGGGCGCTGTGTGGGCGGGGAACCCCCTGACCGCTGGGAGCGGCCCGGCACCCCTTCGCCCCGTGCAGGGGCTGTACTTTACAGACGCTCCCTGGGCGGTTTCTAGGCTCCCCCAAGTCCCTCCTCTAGCCTCTTGCCGGCCCGCAGACCCCAGGCCGGGAGCTGTGGAGAGCGGCGGCGACTAGGGGCCACCGAGCCTTTCCCCTGGGTTGAGCCTGGAGTGGGCGCTGTGCCCCGGAGCACCCCCGATTTCCCAGGGGTCCGGCGACCCGAGCTCCGCGCTCAGGTTGGGGCGCTTGTTTATGAGAAGAATTTCCTCTTTCTTAAAAGGGCAACGTTGCGAGTGGGGCCTCAAGGAGGACGGGGTGGGACGGGTCTTGGCTCAACCAGAGCAACAGTGAGAGAGGGTACCTGGGCGAGAAGGCCGCCCAGTCCCCTTCTCCGGGCTGGCCTTGGAGAAGATGGGGCGAGCTGAAGGAGGGGACAGATGGGAGCTGGGTAGTGGAGGAAGGCATCTTCCAGACCCCTCTGCTACCTGCAGATGCCCCCCCCCCGCCCCCCGCTGAAGCCCCTCCCCGCCCCTGGGGTCTGCCCCTGCTTTGTGCTAGACGTGGGGCAGGAAGGCAAAGTCCTGAATTAAAGATGTCAGTTCTCAAGGAGCTCACACCCCAGTGGGGGGACAGCTAAGTAAACGACACAACCAAACACTATGCGGTGGGACGAGGGAACAACCCAAGTGCGTCTCGGGCACACCTGGAAAGAGTGAGGCAGAAGCCAGAGAAGTTATCTCCTGGAAAGGATTTCCAAAGCTGAATAGAGAAAGGGGGATGCCAAGCGGGGATGAGCGTGCCAGAGGTGGAAGGGGAGATCTGTGTGTGCAAAAGCGTAGCGACATGCAACCTTGTGGAGAGTTCTTAGATCTCGTGGAGAAGGACCGGGGATCCCAGAGAAAGGGCAGGTTGGTCATATGAACAGTTAAGCCTGGAATTGAGAGCTTGAGTGCAAGGAAGACGGGAGGGGAGGGGACCATAGGGCGAGCGAAGGGGCTATTTTGGGCCTGGGCGAGGGGTGAGCCATGAGTGGTCAGGCCAAGGTCAGTCCTTTCAGGGCAGGGAGACCCCACAGAGAGCTACCCCGACCCCCATAATAGCTTCGGTCCTCCCAGCCCCCATGCTCAGCTCTAACTTGAGCCGGGAGGGGATGCTCCGTGTCCGCCTCCCTGGCTGGGCGTGGCCCGGCACCTTGACTCTCCCCAGGACCCGCGAGGGCGCCCTGCCTTTCTGCGCTGCCCCGCCCTGCATGGGTGGGGCTTTTTTTTACCAACCTCCTTTGGAAGCTGAGGTGCTCGATGGAAAAGACGCTCTTGCACTGTTGGCAGAAACACACGGCGCCCAGGACTTTGTTCCTCCTGGGGTGCAAACCCATGAAACAGATAAAAATAAACTGTGGGTAAGGCGACCCCTGCTGCTGGGGTAGAGAGGGCTAGCAGCCGGCTGTGAACACCCCCCCCCCCCCAACCCTACAGAACACTTCCACCAGCTCCTCTGTCCCCACAGATCCCCAGACCCTGGGCCTCCTGACTCAAGGCAACCACCTTGCCCTGGCAGAAGGTGCACCTCGGGGTGCCTGGCAGCCTAGGAGGAGGGAAGTTCTCCCAGGGGAGGAGGCCCGCACCAGCAAAGTCTTGGAGGGGGCGATGGGTGTGTGTCGGAGGTGGGAGGTGAAGGGAATAGCGGGGAGCAGCGGCCCTGCCCAACGCCCTATCCCCGCTTCAGCTCCTCTGACCCTCAAGAGGACAACTGGCCAGCTTCCAGCCTTCACAAAGAGAAACGGAGGGAGAGGAAGGCGAGCCGGCCTGCTCAGATCAGGGGCGAGGCCAGGGGCTCACTCAGCCCCACGCCACACATTTCCTTTTGGGGTCAGCGCGGGCTGGGCGGCCGGAGACAACGCTGAGGCCCCGCCCTGGGGCCGGGCCGAAGGGGAGGGGGGTTCCGCTGGGTGGCCGGAATGCCCTTTCCGCCCTGGCTGGAGCGCTGGGGCCAGTCGCTTCACTTCTGGGAGCTCAGTTTCCTTATCTGTAAAATGGGATAAGAAGGGGGTCGTTCTGAGGAGTAAAGGAAATGAGGGACCCAGACTAAGCGCTCGCCACACGTAAGCGACGATGAGGATTAAATGCGATATGGCGGCCGTGCGGGCGCCCTAAGCGCAGGAAGGGGGGCCGTGGGTTCTAGCCTGGGGGCGATCGCAGCCCCGGCCCACCTCCTCCCGGCCCCCGTCGCAGGGCAGGACCCTGGCGCGCCTCCAGGCGGCGCCGCTCTCGGCATCCGGCCCCGCGCGGGGCCTCCCCTCCGCCCCCCGCCGCCCCGAGGACGTGCGCCGCGCTCGCCCCGGCGGCCGGACGGGACAGGACGCGCCCGCCCCGCCCGCCGCTGCGGCCCGCGGGGGAAGGAAGTGCTGGGGCGTGTTCGTCAGGCTCGGCGTTATTATTATTATTTTTAAAATTGTGAACACAAAATAGTAACGACGAATGGAAGGAACTTCACAAACAGGGGGAAAAAAAAAGAAACGCACCCGTAGACCTCCTGGCACATAACGCAGGAGTTTCCCTCGTGAAGGATCCGCGTGGAAGCGCGGACGCCGCGCCGGCCCGGGGTGTCTGCACGGATCCGGGTGGAACGGCTGTTTTAAAACCTTCCAAACGGTTGATGGCTGTGGTCCCCACGGTCGGGCATTGGCCTCGCAGGAACTGAGCGCCCACTGTGTACGGGCCCCGCCAGAGAGCACCCCTCCCACCCCCGTTAATCACAGAGTGGCCGGCGTGTGGAGTAAAGGAGAGGGTCGGGAAGGTCTTTTGGAGACGGTGACATTTCATCGAGGTCGGTGGGATTTGGCTCCGAGAAGGGGGAAGAAGCGTGTTCTAGGCAGAGGGAACAGCGCTTACGAAGGCCCTGAGGCGTCGAGGCGCTTGGCTCCTCCTGGTGGGAACGCCAGGTGGCTGGCGCGACTGGGGGGGGGGGTCGGACTGCGGAGCGCCAGGTGGGGCAGTTGGGAGAGGTCGACAGGGGGCATCCCGTGGCAGGGAGTTGGAATTTTTACGCTCTACAGAGCGGGTCACCTGGCCCGGAGTGGGTGGCGAGCGTCACAGTCTGGTCAAGAGCATAACTGTGTGGATCTGCACAGCAGTTTGGAGGTCGCAAACAGCCTTCGCTTGCTCACGACTTCCCCGCGAGGTGGCCCCTGCGACTATGGGAAAGAAGATCCCTTTTACAGACCAAACAGCGTTATGCCCATTTCCCAGATGGGGAAACCGGGAAGAGGTCGGTCCGCGACCCTCGGAGCGCGCAAAGGCGGAGCCGCGCGGCCCTCGGGCACTCCCCGGCGTGGGCGGGCCCCGGCCCTTGGCTCTCGGGCTGGGTGGGCAGGGTGCTGGTCCTGCCACGCAGCCGCAGAGGCTCGGCCCCGCGGGCGGGCGGCAGGAAGGGAGGCGACGCCCCCTGGAGCGGCAGGAAC